ACTGGAAAATCGGGGAGGGAAATTAAAGGAATAGCGGGTAATCGAGTTGGGTAGAAGTGTCTCATCGAGGTCCTTGCTCCCCAGAGGAGCGGTAGTGAAAAATGAAATTGTTAATTACAGGGTAGATGAAATTCGGTAAGGTAAAAACTAGGAAGAAAACAAATTCTGAAAATATAAAAGTATCCCAGTACCCAATCTGGACAATAGGCAGCCGCCTTGGTGCTCTACCGCAAGCGTAGGGAGGGAGGATTTGTGTACAAAATAGTACACACGGAGTACACAGGATTTGGTAAATAAAGTTAGTTTTTGCGTCGCTTAAAAGCATGCGTGATTTAAAATTCGATTAAAATCAATTTCCTCATAGCTATCAACTAAAAAATTATACATTTTTGTCTTTCAAATTCTACAGCAAATATTTTATTTAGTAATAACGATATGTTGGGAGGCCTTTTGTCCCTTCCCCTGACGAACGGTCGATTGTTACCGCCGGTTCTGTTTTCTTCTTGTTCACGTATTCGGGTAAGGCGAGCACGTCAGTTGGTCGCCCTCCTAAATGACCTTTTTGTTATTTAAGGTCGCCTCAACTTCTAGGTCATTAGCGACCACTATTGCTTGTAATGGTATGATAATTGTGAGGGTGACACGATATGATGATGATAGAGGGTGAAAGGACGCACACAATACAACCATGCCCGAGGCGGGACCTGAACCCGCGGCCCGCTACGGCACCACTGCCTTAGCGACCACGCAAATGAACTTGTATGTGTGGGCGCAGATAACCTGGACGCGACGGAGATCCCGGACCTGAGCAACGTGCAGCGCGTGGCGGCTCTGCTGGGCGTGCCGAAGCAGCCCCTCATCGACGCGCTCACCCGCAAGACCATCTTCGCCAGCGGAGACACCGTGGTACGTGCGCCTCAGCGGGCCCCCACCAAAGGACTTTGTTTTTTATTTATTTAAAAATATTTCATAGATATAATTAGGGGGTGGATTTCGATGACCTAAAACTCGATGACAAAAATCATCAACAAAATGCTCTTAAAGTGTTTCTAAAATGTCCCAAAAGCAAAGAAAAATGACGTAAAAAATGTTATCAAAACCAGTTCGAATGAACAACTCAAGCCGGTGGATACGTTACTGATGTAATCGAGGCTTCTTCTCGTGCTTTTATTCGTTCGAGAAAATTCAGCATTCAAACTTTTGGTTTCGACTGTTCTTTACAAGTAAATCTCTCTCTATAGTTACCCCGAAATCGGTTGAACCGCCAATGGCGCTGACAGGCGTCACAGGACCTTCAGATATATTAACTATGGCTGACATTACAACTCCTGAGCGAAGAAATCGAATAGGCTACCAGATACAAGTACTTAGGAATTCTGTGGAGAACATTTGTTGCATCTCGTAAATATTACTTGAAGCAAGTACCGTTAAAATGATATTAAATTAGACGAAATCAGCGAAAAATGCAAAATTACGGAAAAGGGTAAAAAATGACTTATTAGTCGCAATCAATGAAAATGCAAAAAAATGACATTGGTCATTTCCTTTTTCCGTAACTTAAAATGAATTTCTATACTAAACTGAAAAGAAAAAAATTTAATCTCATTAAAATCCTCCCCCTAGATATAATCGTCATCATCATCATTATTAACTGTTTAAGTATATACCAATGATCTGTTCCTATTCTTCCGGTAGACTCTTTGCCAATGCCAAGGTGTTCCTGTCTTCCCATCTCTTCTTGGATTGGCCTCTTTCTCTTTCACCTCTCGGTCTACACTTCAGCACCTGTTTCGGTAGTGTGGTTGGTTTCATCCTTTTTATATGATCTTGACATGTCTTTTGATACTTTACTATGTCTTCAATGATATTTTGGTTTTTTGATTCTTCCTTATTTCTTATTTTGTCTTTCCTTGAAACTTGTAATAATGGTCTAGGGTATCACATTTGGGCTGCTTCAATTCTTTGTCTATCTCTTTTTTTCAATACCCATGTTTCAATGCCATAAAGTAATGTTGGTTTTGGTAATGATATTAGGAAGTCTAATTTTGTTATTAGATATAATTAATACTAATTACTAATTTAACAATTGTAAAATTACAAACTTTATTAAATACTTAGCACTTTTAAAAAAATAATATCACTTCAGCGTTCATCTACTGGCATTCTTCACTTTGAGGATTAGATGTCTGCCAACGGCCTCACAGAACTCATCTTTTTCTTGGCTTTCCTATATCTCTCCTACCACATGGCTATTATTAGAAGGCTAATTATTTTTATTTCTATATTTTCTTGTGAAACTTTTCATTCTTCTTAGAAACTTCATTTCTGCACATAATAATTGTGTGTGCAGGGACCCAGCTTTCACTTCCTCAGAGAGAGCATGTATGGCCATTGTGTTATAAAGTTTCATTCTTGTTTCTTTCTTGGTTTTGATATTCAGTGTCCTCTTAATTATATTACATTTAAATTTAAATTTTGATTCTTTATCAATGGCATATTCACTACCTCCTTTTTTACATCTTATATAATTCAAGGAAAATACTTGTTCAAGAATTTTGTTGTCAACTACAATCTATATTTTTATAAATGATTTTTCACAGAAGACAATACTTTTTGTCTTCTCTTTCATATTCTTGTGTCGAATTCCTTACATTTATTGTTTATTTGGTGTAGGGTGATATCTACAAATTGCTTTTTTTTTCTTTTGTATTATAACTACATCATCTGCTTATAATCAAACATTTAAATGGTCATTTTGTGAAATACGAATTCCTCTTTTAATAATAAGCTTCCAATTTTGTATTATGTCATTTATAAATACTAAAAAGCACTGAAGACATTGGGCATCCTTGTTGGATACCTTTATTCTACAACAAAATTTCCTGTTTTCTTTCTTCCACAATTTATTTTCATTCTTGCATTAAATTGCTTCATTCATGCATTCACGCATGCACAACTTGTGCTAGATAGCATTGTTTGGTCATCATGGCTCATAATTTTGTTTCGCTAACATTGTCGAACTTTTTTTTTGAAGTCTATAAAAGCAAGATATTTTAGATGTGTTGACAAATTAAATTCTGTCTTTCTCTAATATTTGTTGGAGGATGTAAAATGTTATCAGATATTGATCTACCTTTCTGAGACACATTTTTGTTCTTTTCTCAATATAATGTTGTAAATTGCTTTAGTACTTACATGCACTATTCTGGAGTGCACTTTATAAGTTGAACAGTGTAGTCTTATTTCCCCTACCGTGAGAGGTGCCTCAAGGCATCAACTGATGTCATAGCACTGCTGCCCTGACTGAGAGGTCCTACGTGTGAGTCCCAAAAGTGACAGGATTTTCAACATGAGTGAGATAGTTGGGACAAATTCAGTCACTGCCTGGAGGAAACTTCTAGTCGCTGGCTGCTCTGATCAGTAGTTTTGTGTGGTTTCTCTGATCAACATCAGATGAATATTGGAGAAGAACCCTAACAAATGGGCCATAGACCACAGGCAATCTTCCCTTCCTATTACATACACTCACACTTACACTAACATGTTCTACACTATCGCACAAGCCAGGAGCCCGGTCGAGAGCTTAAGATTCTCTGGTGGGAGATATCTGGTTGAGGGTGAATCCCAAAGATCTGTTTCGGATCTCACCATCCAGCAGGGGCAAGATCCAGATCACCACTACCTCCTGTGCTAAAAGAAATATGCACTACACTTACAGGACTAGTGATTTATGCAGTGGACGTGCCCAGAATCAGTAATCTACCAATCAATCTTATTTGCCTATTTTTACCATTTTTCCTAATTCTCTTTTTAAAAAGGAATATAACTTCTTCTACTTATCAGCTCTGTTGTATTTTTAAATTTTGTCAACTGCTATTTTTAATATGAAGCAGCCTTCATCATGCCACCATACTCCAGTAACTCAGAATTGGTTTTATCTAAACCAGATGCTTTCCTGTTCTTCAGCTGTTGAAAGTATTTTTGTAATTCAATGGCAACAAGAACACTGTAAGACTTTTCTTGGTATTCATAACTTCTTGTAATAGTTTATCGTTCGGTGTCTTTGTTACATCAATACTTGCATAATCATTTCAGATCTATTGAAACTCTTTATTATTTTTATGAAAAAAATTTTCCTTCCATGCACATCTTGCTCTATTTTACAAATGAAGTTATCCCAAGAAATTTTATTCATCCCTCTTACAATTTTATTTGCTGTATATCTCTCCTGGTAATTTTTCTTATTTCTTAAATTTTCTGCTGCAGCTATTGGAGATATACGCATTTTAATTATTTTGTATGGCTGTTTGAATTGTTTGCATTGCAAATAGTGAAACCTTTTCTATATCTTACCTTTTTCTTCTTACCTATGTTTTTTTTTACTGTTTTCAATGCATGCAAGATATTACTTGTCATATTCCAATTCTAAGCATTCTGCAGAAGGTATTTCTAGAAGATATATAATATTGCATTCTTTGTTGTAATAGATGATAAATTTTCTTCTTCTTCCAAATAGTAGGTTCAAGTAGATTTTATAATTCTCTTCCTTTGCTTCCTGTCAGAGACTTCCATTTCTGCAATACCTTAAATTTTACTGTAACCAAGAAATGGTCAGAAGAAATGTTACATTCTCTACACTGTTAACATATATTAGCTTTTATTTCTACTTTTTACATCAAAAAACAACTTCTATTCAAAATACATGAAAAGTCTATTTGTACAAATTTCTTTTCATTTTTAATTATTTTAATTAATAACTATGGAACAATACAAAAACAACCTTTGAAACCTAGCTAATAAAAGTGAACTTTACTGTGTATTTATAACTTGCTTCAAATATAATAGTAGTATAGAAATATTAAAATATGGTACCAGAAAAAAATATTGTGAATCACATAAAAAATGTTGTGCATATGAGAGATTTAGAAAGAACTGAAAGACATTTTACCAATGTTTCACTTACTTTGTGCTCATTATTAAACTTCTTTTTTTTCCCCCAGGTTTCAACATTGTCTCGAGACCAATCTGTGGATGTGCGAGATGCATTTGTAAAGGGCATATATGGCCGTCTGTTTGTTCTCATTGTGAATAAGATTAATAGTGCTATTTACCGGCCAAAATCAACTGCTCGAAGTGCTATTGGAGTCCTTGATATCTTTGGTTTTGAAAATTTTAATACTAATAGGTGAGTCAATGAAAGTACAAATAGACCTTTAACCTTTACTTTACATTGTACATCTGTCTTAAGAACATCTCACATTAGAAAACAATGCTTTTCAAGTGTTTGATTTCAGTAAAAGGCTTTAGAGGGAAAATTTGTTGAACTTCTGGTATTAAATTTGTGATAACCTTATGATAAATTTTGAACAGATATATTTCATTTGATGAAGAAATTTATCATTTGTTCGTATTGAGATTTCTCTTTATATTTACTCTCTATATATTTGAAAATCCATTACTCCTAAGTCCTTCTGTCTTTTGATTAATTGGAGATCCAAGTCCTGAGAGGGGTAGATTTTTTTTGCAGAAATTTTGATACTCAATAGTGTTAAAATTCAACACTGAAATTTGAAATTTGAACATAAGATAATCTGACTACTATTTCATAAATATAAAATTTCAAACTTTTCATGTAAAAGAAAAAAAATTCAAAACAATTCAATTAAAAAACGAGACAGGCATGAAAGTGGTATCAATTGTTCTGCAAGCTTCATGCAACTGAAAAATCCATTAACTTTCTTTTATTACCAATAATCCCATCTTTCTTAAATTCTGATTTGTTTAAATATTCCTCAATACATACTCTCCTTACATAAAAGGCATACCTTCATAATGTGATAAAATAATGAAGCAATATCTTCCTCATGATTTCTTTCAGTTTTGAGCAATTCTGCATAAACTATGCCAATGAAAACTTGCAACAATTCTTTGTGCAACATATTTTCAAATTGGAACAAGAGGAATATGATGTGGAAGGAATTAGTTGGCAACATATTGAATTTGTTGACAACCAAGATGCTTTGGACCTCATTGCTAGTAAACAGCTTAACATAATGGCCCTCATTGATGAAGAATCCAAATTTCCTAAGGTAAGCTGTATGATTAAAATGGTATTTCGTAATATAAAATATACTTCAAAACATTTAATATTAATTTCAAATACATTACTTCTTTCATTGTGTGATAAAGATATGAATTATTATTAATGCTGAATTTTTTTTTTATTTTGTAGGGGACTGATCAAACAATGTTAGCCAAGCTCCACAAGACTCATGGAACCCACCGTAATTATTTAAAACCGAAGTCAGATATTAATACCTCTTTTGGATTGAATCATTTTGCTGGTGTAGTATTTTATGATACTAGAGGTAAGAACAATTTGTCAAAAAATAATTATATAATTCTGAGAATATGAGACTGTAATAAACAGTAATCAAAGATTCAAAATACATTAATTCAAATGTTGATCCTAAAACACCTTCCCATGTTCTGGTGTGTTTGTTTTTGTACGATTTAGAATAAATATAAAAAAGTTTTCTATTCTTTTAAAATGATTGTAGTCACAGATAATCAGTTAAATCACATGCGAAGGAATGAACATGCATCTTTTTGCTTTATAGGCTTCCTGGAGAAAAATCGTGACACCTTCAATGCAGATCTTCTACAACTTATCCATGTTTCAAATAACAAGTTTCTGCAGCTCTTGTTTGCTGATGACATAGGAATGGGGGCAGAGACTCGAAAACGTGCTCCAACTCTCTCAACACAATTCAAGAAATCTCTAGATGCACTCATGCGAACTCTAGGGTCTTGTCAGCCATTCTTCATTAGATGCATCAAACCTAATGAACACAAAAAGCCAATGATGTTTGATCGAGGGCTTTGCTGTCGTCAACTGCGGTACTCAGGAATGATGGAAACAATCAGAATTCGGAGAGCTGGTTATCCAATTCGACATTCATTTAGTGAATTTGTGGAGCGTTATAGATTTCTCATCCCGGGTGTTCCTCCAGCTCACAAGGTGAGTAGTCGGCTTCTGCTGTTTAGTTCTTATTGATTTGGTTCATGTGATTTTTCCAAAAAACATTTGCAGTATAATACTTTCCTTTTCTGGAAAATATTGAGATATCAATGCAATCCATCACTACGCAAAATCTGCAGAGAGAAGATTCTTATGGGCAAAAGAGTTTTTCTACTAAAGTGTTTCTATTTTATAAAGTCTTGATATTTGCAAGGGTATGATTCCCCAACATAGTTTGCAAATAAAAAAGTAACTAGAACTAATCTTTTACCAGATTATTTTTGAGTTTGTGATTAATTCATTTTTGTTAACACTTCAAAATAAAATGTTTTAATCTTCTTAATAATACTCAAAAATTGGTATATTACTCTTAATTTTTTCTCTTAATTACAAGTTTCACATCTCTTCAGAGAGTTAACTCTTTAGTGCTCAACACATTCACGGTACCGAACAAATCTCATTTAATATAAAATTTCCAGCATAATATGTTCAAGAAACTTAGATTACAATTTTCATGATTTGTCAATTCAGTTCAAACTTTACTTTGATTTATCACGTTTATATTTTGTGACAGTGATTTCATATTAATTCCCATATGATAGAAATTTATTACTTTTCTAATTTATGACATGTATTTATGACCAAATATCATCTATTTTCAAATATTTTACATCTTCTGGGGGTTTTATAATATAGTTTGAAGATCATTTTCTTCTTGTTAGTCAGATATTAGGACAAACTGAATGTTTAATAAGTCATGCATAACTTTCCAAAATAATATCAAAATTCTTTAGCACTTGAGAGTGCAATTTTTAACTTCACATTCTTCAAAATTTTTTGATGTTGTGTTTCAAACTTTCTAACTGCACTTCAAACTTGAAAATGCATGCTTAGAATGTACCTTTAAATGTGTTGAAAATCAGTTTTATTAATTTTACACATGGAAGTTTAAAATGAACCCCTTCCCATTTTCTTTATACCAAAAACTTTATTTCTTAATTGATGTTCTTAAAAGATATTTCTGTAATTTAAATATGCGTGAAGTATACAAAACAAATTTACAATATTTTTACTTAAATGTAATTACTAAAAGGGCAAATAATTTTTATTTGGAAAAAAACAGAAAATTACGAATTAAAAATTAGCATTAATACTTTGAGAAAATTAGATATAAAGGACACTTACTTATACAGTTAGAGATCCATTACCTGGGGCCTCTGGACCCATGGGACCCCCAAAAGCACTTGTGTGTGTGTATGTGTGGGGGTGGCAACTGACCACACTTTAAAGACCTTCTGTAAAAGCAATTTGTTTATTTCCATAAAACGACAAGTGTACAACTTGAATTACATATTTTATTATAAGGATGCAAAAATGTTTTCCAAATTTGTAATTTGACACCCCAGGGCCTCTATTGTTCATTGCTTCATGTAATGTTGGGCAGACTCACAGCTGAAGCATCCTTGCCCTATAGGGTGGTTCAGCAGAAATGACCTCTTTTTGGCGATGCGGATCAGATATGCTGATGTTTTGCAACCATTATCAAACCTTATTTTAACAAGCAAAAGTGCATCTGAGTGAGTAGATGCGTACAACTTGAAAAAAAGTAATTGAGACGTTCGAGTTTGTATTCAAGTTGTATTGAATTCAAAAACTTTGATCGCAACTAATGCTGTGTCCAGACATGGTTCCATGGGGGAGGGAAATTTCCTCCCCTAAAATTTTCATCAATTTATTGGCTTGAATCAAACAATAGATTCGTTTGCGATCATTCAGTCACGAACTTTATTGTAGCTTTCAGACGAAGAACTTGCGAATCAATGAGAAAAATTCAGCGAGAAATACTATGACGACGCAATTGATCAATCGTTCACGCACCTATTATCCTGGAGTAGTTTTCTGAGAGACCCAATTTCGAAGATTCATTTAATCAGAGTTGGCTAACTCATCCTGATCGAGTACTTCACTTTTTCAGGAAGCTAATGATTTTTAATGATTCATGTGGCGGTTGCGACTACAGGGCGATCCTTTTCAAAATTGAAAATTGTCAAAAGTCATTTGCGAAATTCGATGGGACAGGAGGAAGGGCTAGTTACGCCACTGCGTACCGGTGAACATAATTTTTATTTGCTTAAAAATACGTAACTGAAGTAGCAAATAAATAACACGAAACTTAAAATAAAATAAAAAAATAACTCTTTCCCTTCATTTCTGTTTAAACTCTGTACCTTCTTCTCTGCCCGAAAACCCCGCCCTCTTCCGAGCCCTTGACAAGCAAGACACGGCCTGCTATCTCGGGTGTCGGGTGTCGGCGCCGACGTGTGAGGATGGCGCGGGTGCGCTGTTGCAGACGGACTGCCGCGCCGCCACCGCGCGCATCTGCCAGGCGGTGCTGGGCCGCTCCGACTACCAGCTGGGCCACACCAAGGTGTTCCTCAAGGACGCGCACGACCTCTTCCTGGAGCAGGAGCGCGACCGCGTGCTCACGCGCAAGATCTTGGTGCTGCAGCGCTGCATCCGCGGCTGGGTGTACCGGCGCAGGTGAGGACGCTTGGCTTCGCCGCTTTCCAGGGGGGCTCACGGCGTCTGGCCTCCGTGTGCTGGGGAGATTTGCCGGCGGGTTTATGGCGCTTTGGCAAAAGTCTTAAATGCATTCGCCTGTTCAAAGAACGTGTTCTTGAGCCGTGTATTGAAACCACACTTGAAGCGAAATACACAAAACCAATTAAATGCTCTGAGATGAAATCTGAAGAAAATGGGTTTGTTAGTAGGCTTCATAAAAAACTTGTTTAAATGTCATGTTTTTTGTTGTAATTTCATTGTACAATAAAAGATACGGCGGTTTATTATTAGCAGTTTATTAGTTATTAATTTCTTCACTGAATACAAGCTAAATAGTAAGCTTAAATAACTAAACAGGAAAAGAGAAAGAAGTGAAGAAGCAATAAATAAGCACAATGAATTTACGTGGCAGTTTTAAAATGTTCATGTGCGTTGCTCCTTGCAAAGGTACGACCCTGACCGGCAGCGAGATGCGAAGCGCAGATTTCAGCTTTGCAGCGTCAGTGATGAGTCAGTCACACACAGTGCTCTAGGGATGCAGGCTGCGAGAACGCCACTTCAAAAGTATTAGAGTATCTATCCTTGTGTTTGAAATCAACTTGTTATTTTTATCAATATTGTATCGTTGGCATAAAATTCTAGAAAATTATTCAAAACTAGTACGTATTTTTCAAAAGATACTCTTTATCTCGCACATTATCCATGTTCTAGCGACTGGTAATGAGGTTTATGTATCTGTATAAATGAATCCATTGGTATATATTAGTAGCCAGTAAAAAGTCCGATATAATTCACGAAAGAGGCATTCGGCTTGTTTGGGGGTTACGAGGAAATCAACGAAATTGGGTACACGCGCAGTTAAATACTCGCATTTACGCATTCGTACACAAACGGTTTTTGAGTTCAAGTTGAACATTCGGTATGTAACGTTTCTGTCGCAATATTTGTTGAAAAACTGCAATCAATTATAGTAAAACTTCCTGAAAGCCCTCGACATTCCTTTTCATAACACGTCCATGGTGTTATGAATAGTGAAACAATGACTTGATTTTCTAATAAAATCCTATAAATATTAATTAAATTAATTGTTGATGAAATCTGTGAACGTGTAGCATATGATTTAAACGTGTGTGTGTGTGTGTGGGGGGGGGGAACTCGCGACTCGGTTAACCTTGATTCACCCGCTATATTAATCGATTTTAATCTCGTACACAGTCTATTCAGGCTCACGTGCAAAAGATATGAAATGCAAATACAAGATGACCTTGATTTATGACAAGTTATTAGATGATTAATTGATAATCTAAAGTTCCTTTATAGGGAAGGTTGAATACAAAAACAGCATTGCTTGGAGGCAAAACGTTCATGAAGTGAATGGAACAATATCAGCATTATTTGAAGGGAAAGGGTGCGTGAAAAAAACTTTTCCTCGCTGGATCATTTCACGCAATTCTCTTCTAAGAAATTCATGGTTCAGTAACTTTTTTAATTTTCATTAATTTTGTTTCTAACTGAGTTGGAATGTATGTTTTAATGATATAGATAACAGAATTTATAAATAAAGTATCAACCAGTTACCAGAACTCATTAACATTGCAATGTTAGATTAGTACTACAGTTTGCTTCTGAACATTGTATTACTCATGTCAGATACATCATCTTCGTCGCCTCCATCTTATCTCCTTCTATTTTCTCTTCCTATTTGTTCTTCACTTTATCCTTATCCTGTCCTTCGTCTGCGACCGTCTTCCTTATTTATCATCCTCTAATTTCCCTCTCTCTCTTCGTCAGTCTTCATCTTCACCCTTCTTCCACTCTGTTGTCTATTTCTCCTTTACATTCATCACAGTGTCATTATTTTCTTCTCCTTTTTATTTCCTCCCCTGTTTCTTCGTAATTTCCTTCTGCTTTTTGTATCGTCACATTTTCCTGTTGTATACTATTTATTCCATTTCACACATGAGATTAACACCGCTAGCGTTTAACGCGGTAGTATATCTCGAAAGAAATATATCTATTTTTATTCACCTCTACTGGTTCATCGTAAACTGATATACATCAACCACACCGGGCAGTGGGCACTGAAAGCTCAGGTTTTATTACCTAACGTAATTAATATCTGGTGCATTCCGGGACACTTCTGGAGACTACTTCATTTGTGAAATTGCCTTATTAAATAACACTCAAATTTCCAAACACATTCCCTCGACGCTACGGGACTCGTGTATTTATCGCAAATTTCCAACGCGCTGACCGATAAAGATGGCTCAGGGTATCAACTGATATCACTGCAGAGCCTCTGACTGGGAGGTCGTAGGTTCGAGTCCCGACGGGGGCAGGACTTCCGACAGTAGTTACATAGGTAGACTGAATTTAGCCGCTGATTGAAAGAGAGTTCCAGCGACTGGCTGCTCTGATCATTAGGGTTTGCGTGGTTTCTCCAATCAACATCAGGCGAATGCCGCAGCACTAAGAAGTGGGTCACCTCAGTGGACGATCTTTCCTTCCTCTTTTTTATCCTCTGCTCACTCTTTACACACAAATGCTCCACACTACATTTGGCGGGATCTCAGAGCTTGCCCCGGCCGGTGCTTGCCCCGTTGGAGGGAGATACGTGGTTGGGGAAACCCCGTTAGCCGGCAGTAGGTCGGCGTCGGATCTCGCCAAACAACGGAGACAATCACCGCCGCTCCCCGCGATAAAAGCCTGCATTTCACTAACGGGAGTAATGACTTCAGCCGTTGCCACGCCCGTAATGGCTGATCGAACGCGGTGTGCCCGCAGGTTCCAGCGCATGCGCGTGGCGGCCGTGGTGATCCAGAAGCACTGGAAGGGCTGGGCGCAGCGGCGGCGGTACGCGCGCATGCGCACGGGCTACCTGCGGCTGCAGGCGCTGCTGCGGGCGCGCGTGCTGGCGCACCGCTTCCGCCACCTGCGCGGCCACATCGTGGGGCTGCAGGCGCGCGCCAGGGGCTACCTGGCGCGGCGCGCGCACCGCCGCCGCCTCTGGGCCGTCGTCACCATCCAGGCGCACGCCCGGCGCATGATCGCCCAGCGGCGCTACCGCAAGCTCAAGGTGGACCTCTAAGGCGTTTACATTTACATTTATTCAGGCAAAAACAGTAAAAACTGTATGTGACGTAGGGGGAAAACATTATCTGCGCACGGTTTCTTGAGTTCCAGAATCCCTTTCCGTCATTTTATAGGTATATATTCCGTTATCATATAGTTGAAAGATGAGTAAACGTTTTACATAAATAAATAAAAATAAACTTTAAAAATCGCAAGATTAGCAATATTTGAAAAATAGTCATTTTCGGTTCTGAGTTATAGAAAACTTATTTGCATCGGTACACGAATTGCAAGGATGATTTTTCATTGCTAACAAAATAGCAACTCGCCCTTATCTCTCCTCTTACCACTACAATAGTGGAATAGTTCTGGCTAGAAGAGGGTCTGTTTCTAGTCTAGCATAGCAGGCGCGGATCCACGGGGAGGAAAATGAGGGAAATTCCCCACCCCCTAAATTTTTTCAGTTAGTATGAAGTTAAGTTTAACTTGTCACGAAACTTTCAAGCAAAAATATTTTCGGATTATCATTAAAACGAATAAAATCGTATCCCAGCATGAGGTGAGTCTAGCCTACAACATTTTACAAAATTTCCCCTCCCCAAATTTGTTTCTGGATCCGCTCCTGAACGTACAGACGTTTACGAGTACAGACGTTTTCAAAGTGGCGGCTGCAAAGGGAACTCAAGGGGAGACATGGTTCAAAAGATACACACATGTGTTATAATTCAATTCATTCAAGTCATACAACAAGATTTTCTAAGTCTAAACAGTCACATGCCTTTCCAAAACATTGGAGCACAGTCGTGCATGATTTGGTTCTCTCCTGCAGGTGGCTGAAGGGCAAATGACATCTTCCTGACCATATTAAATTTGGCAACTTGAATGATCTCACCGATTTATTAAAGCCAATAGTTCAGTGATCGAATTAGTGACTGCCATTATACCCTACATTTCATTTAATGCCCCCATTTACATATTTTTAACGTGAGAAGAAATTTTCAAGAACTGAAAAAAACTAAATTCATTAACAGAAGCTAAAAGATTTGTGATTTTGTTTATAGAACTTAAGGGTTCATGAACAAACACTGAGAATTTCCGGTGCAGTATATTAAATACATTGGCAGAGGAAAGAATGTTTTTCTTTCTTTCTTTTATTTAGAAGGTAACATTTACACAAAACTATAAATATGCTATTGCAGTACAGGGAAATTCTTCCCAGAAAAACAGCAATCAGATCAATTAGGAACATATTTTCTTGTCCAATTTCATAAGCTTCTCTTGTGATATTATATCCTATGGTAATGTAAGACAATTGGAATAACCAGATTTCCTGATCTAATTTGTGCATCAATAATTTCTAAGCTCTCTTCTGAAGTACTAAATACACCAAGTGTTCTTCAGGAAATTAATGACTTTCAATGATGTGATTCTAAACACAATCAGTGAGGAATATTGTTAGTTGTTGTTAGTTACATATTGTTAGTTATAATGTTCTCTTGGCTATGATAAATTTTATTAACTAAGCAAGATAAAAAGCATTACTAGTCTGGAGAAATTACTTTAGTTTTCTAATTTTTGTTTCATTAAATTGTGCATATTAATGCTAATTGTAAAAAATTGTTTATATTAATAATTAAATTCTTGTATTTTAGTATGATTACCGTCATCAATTAGAAGCTCTGCGATTGAGGAAGAAAGAAGAACGAGAGCTCAAGGAGGCAGGCAATAAACATGCAAAGGAAATTGCAGAGCGCAATTATCGGGTGAGTATTTTACTACATGTCTAATTGGTTAGAAAGTGTTGGAATAAATTTACTTAGTATTTGTAATGAAAGCATCAATGATTTTGTGGTGTTTGTACAGGAAAGAATGCGAGAATTGGAAAGAAAAGAAATGGAATTGGAGCGTGAGGAACGGCGGCGAGTTGAAGTAAAACGAAACATCATCAAGGATGCTGCAAAGAAGCAAGAAGAACCAGTTGATGATAGTAAATTAGTTGAAGCGATGTTTGATTTCCTACCAGACTCAAGTAGTGAAGCTCCTGGACCTGCACGTGAAACTTCTGTGTTCATGGTGAGATGCTATTTAGAAATGTATCAATGTACTATATCAATACAATTTTCTGTTATGTAACTCCTTCCTATGTTCATGGCAGATTAAATCAGATTGTGATAACATAAAAGGGTAGACTTACAAGAATACTTCTTGTAATCTTGAACAATAGAACCCAATCATTAACAACTGTTTCCAATAGAGACTGACTCATTAATTTTATTTGCAGGATCTTCCAGAACGATCAGATCCTCAGGAAGTCATTACTGACATGACACCTGCACCTGATGACCAAGAAGACCTTTCTGAATTCAAATTTCAAAAGTTTGCTGCTACTTATTTTCAAGGCAATATTACACATCAATACAGTCGAAAACCTCTTAAACATCCGCTCTTACCTCTACATACTCAGGGAGACCAATTGGTAAGTTTATGTTTCTTTTATTTCTTTATAATATAGAGAAAAACAGATCCTTTTAAGAAGAGGCCTTCAAGAAAGATTTAAAATAGTCAATTTATATTATTTATTATTATAATTTTATCTTTTCAGAAATAAAATAACTTGTTCCTTTACATTTGTACATTGCTTAACTAATATTTATTTTTTTAGGCTGCACAAGCATTATGGGTTACAATATTAAGGTTTACTGGTGATTTACCTGAACCCCGGTACCACACAATGGAACGGGACAATACTTCTGTTATGAGTAAAGTCACAGCCACTCTAGGTCGGAACTTCATTAGAAGTAAAGAATTTCAGGAGGCTCAGTTAATGGGTGTAGACCCAGTAAGTAACTTTGTTTACATTTATCTCTCAATCATTCATAGAAGATTTTTTTTTTTCAACCAGAAAGCACTGACAATCTTTTCTTTTCTATTCTTTTAGAACGGAAAACATAAGTTTTTTCTAAAAACTCTTGGTTCAAGTTTTTTGACAGAATAGTATTTATTAATTTACTCAAATGACAAACTAAAATTACAATGCCTTTGTATCAAAGGTGCTGTAATTACATAGGCAATGATTGCAAATTATTGAAATCTAAACAAATCTTTTACAGGAATCTTTTTTGAAGCAGAAGCCACGATCCATTAGACACAAACTAGTATCTCTCACTCTGAAACGTAAGAATAAATTGGGAGAGGATGTTCGGCGCAGATTGCAAGATGAAGAGCATGCAGCTGATAGTTACCAAGCATGGTTGGAAGCTCGGCCTACTTCCAACTTGGAGAAACTGCATTTCATCATCGGTCATGGAATTTTAAGAGCTGAGCTTCGGTTAGTAGTATTCTTGGTCTGAAAGAAAAAAAAATTAGTAGCACAATGAACGTTCAGTATTAGGACAAAATGCACAGGTCTGTGAACATGTTTAACGCAAATTCCAGCTAAATCTTCCAAATCTATAATTATGTATTAAAGAATTTGCTCAGAGTTATAAAACATTACTAATATTACCAATAAATTATTGATATTATGTCTCTGTTTAGGGATGAAATATATTGTCAAATATGCAAACAACTAACAAACAATCCTTCTAAATCCTCTCATGCAAGAGGATGGATTTTGTTGTCGTTATGTGTGGGCTGCTTTGCACCATCGGAGCGTTTTGTGAATTATTTACGTGCATTTATTCGGGAAGGACCTCCTGGTTATGCTCCTTATTGTGAAGAAAGATTGAAACGCACTTTCAACAATGGTACTCGAAATCAACCACCCAGCTGGCTTGAACTGCAGGTAAAATAAAACCAAATTTATCCACAAAAAAATAAGTTTTATTAAATATATTTCTTTCACATTATACTTTGATTGAATGATCTTAACACATATCTGTTTGTGCAATAAATAAGTGTTTAAGGCAAATTTCCCTACTTTACAGAGCACGACTTTGAAAGTTTGTACAGTTGTATAAAACTGGATTTTGTAATAAGTCAATGAAATTTGGTAAAACGAACTCCAATATTGCTTATCACCATTACGAAACCAATGTAATTACTTTAATCAGTAATGAGATGAGTTAAAAGTAGTGCCCTGAAAGGAAGGAAATTTGACACACAGATGTACGAGAATGTACAGTACTTTTTGTATTATTTATTTTCTGTAAAGAGTTGATTTATGATTAACATATTTCATGAGAATTGTATCTATTGTACAGGCAACTAAATCCAAAAAACCGATCATGCTACCAATCACATTTATGGATGGAAATACAAAAACTCTTTTAGCGGATTCTGCTACAACCGCTCGAGAGCTATGTAATCAACTGGCTGATAAAATTGGCCTCAAAGACCAATTTGGCTTCTCCCTGTATATTGCACTCTTTGATAAGGTATATGACCTTGATATACACTAAAATGAAGTATTGAGGTTTGAAATAGAATGATTCTTGAATATATCATTCTTAAATTAAATGAGCAAAATATGTTTAGAGAGATAAAAAGTTTCAGCAAACAAAATTTGATAACGTGTACTGCCATAAATATCAACATATCTATTTGATTAAAAATGTAATCATTTATTGAGGTGGAATAATTTGGTGATTCTCCAGGCCCTGAGAGGTCCAATGACTTGATACTTTTATGATTGAAATCACTTATTTTATACATTAAATTATAAAATATTTGCATGAAAATTATGTGAAAATGCAACAGGTGTCCTCATTGGGAAGTGGTGGAGATCATGTGATGGATGCCATCTCTCAGTGCGAACAATATGCGAAAGAGCAAGGAGCTCAAGAACGAAATGCACCATGGAGATTATTTTTCCGCAAGGAAATCTTTGCTCCCTGGCATGATCCTGGAGAAGATGCAGTAGCGAGTAATCTTATTTATCAGCAGGTTGTGAGAGGAGTAAAATTTGGAGAATATCGCTGTGATAAGGTAACTTTCTGAATTATTTGAGAGAATGTCCTTAACTAAAATATTTTTAGCATAAAATAAGTTCGTTAGAAAATTCAGACAAAGAGTTATATTTCTTTGAAAATACATTCAAAACTTGTGTGAGAAACACAACTCTATACCTGAACAGTCAATTGAAATAAAAAATTGTAAAACCTTATCTTCACAAATAAGAAATGAGATAAAATGTCTTCAGTATATGCATATATCCAGCAACAAGTTTATGACCAAAAACATTCTTATAAATTTACGAGATCACATATTATTCTCTAAATAAGGCAAATATTTTTTGTTGTAATTTTATAAAAGAATCATCTGTTTATTTTCTTAATTTATTGAAGTAAATTTAAAATATGGAACATTGCTTTTACAGGAAGAAGATTTAGCTATGATAGCTGCCCAGCAGTATTACATAGAATATGGAGCAGATCTAAATGTAGAAAGACTTCTGTCACTTTTGCCATCTTACATACCAGACTATTGTCTGGCAGCATCTGACAAGGCTTTGGATCGCTGGGGACAACTTGTCGTTCAGGCATACAAGAAGGTAAGTACCCAAAATAATATTTTGTTTTCAAATAGTGATAATGACATCAGACTTTTTCTGTTAATCAGTGACATATTTATAATTACATATTTATGTAAAGTACTTGTAGACCCGACAATGCTTTGCTATTGCAGTGTATGTATATTACACATCATACACTAGTGGTCATGTGATTGTTAATCACGTTTAAGCTTTGCTGAGCAAAAAATCTAATAGCTGAAAGTCTTTCTCACATGTATGGGTTTATTTTATGTCCTGGTTTGTACATGGTGGTCAAGTATCCTATAGTTAAAACCAGAGGAATATTCAGGTGCCTGTGGCAATGGTAGAATGAGTGCCCCTGTCAGAATACTTCAAATTAGAGTTGTTATTAATTGTTTTAGCGAGTTTACTCTAAATAGCAGCCCTTGTGAGTGGCTCCCATGACACATGCCATGTCTGCCTTACCTTAGACACACCTATGGTTAAAACAATCTACCTCAAACTTGGGCATGCATTCGCTATGACACTACCTTGGAGAAATTTGGTTTACTTCAAGAGGTTCAAGTAATAATTTCACCTAATATTTCACAACCGCAGGAGCAGAATACTTGTGAAGGCACAATTAATCCTTTACGGTGCAGCAGGTTGCGGGGGCACCTGAGTAGTCATCAACAAATATATCATCATCATCATCATCATCACTATGAACAACTGGCCCGCATGTCTGATTAACTCAAACCACTCATTAAACACCCCCATTACTAACAGTAATAAAGTGAAAAAATTACAGCAAAATTAGTCAAGTAGTTTTTGTGCAACACACATACGCAAATTACCTTTTATTTATACATAGATACCAAAAGTCTTTGTGCTTGACATTTGAGAGTCGCATAATGACACCATCAGTGTTTTCAATTGACCCGTAATAGCAACAGCTTTTCTAGTGATGTAATTTTCACTTGTTGCCTCCCAACTTGGAGTGAAGAAATGAAGAGGATATAGCATTGTATCAGCTGAGCGCTTCTACCCAACTTCCATAACTCCTAAATTGAAATTTCATATCATTGAAAGAAATCACAATAGGTATCAGACAAAAAAATTTCAAAAACTTAGGACTGAAATCTACTATTTACTTTAGATTGCCCATGAAATATCGTGTAGCACACACATGACAAGCGGAATAAAATTCAGCATTGCTACTTCTGCCAAGACCAACAAAGAATGGTACATCACACAGACAGTATTTTATTTTAACTGTTATAAACTTTTTTCTTATTCAAAATTTTATTGCTCTAGTAGGCTATTGGTTTTTCAGAGGAGAATGGAATTTTATTTCCCAATCCAGAAGTATTATTTTATTTACTGAGCTTCACAAGTAATATTAATTGTAGTATTAATAATTTTGGTACCTTACCTAAACATTAGGACTTGTTAACTCATGAAGACATTGATTCAATGTTACAAATCTGTAATCAATGTAACTGTAAAAGTATTATTTATATGTTCACCATGCCCTGCTCCTCCCATCTCCATCTTCATCCCACTTTCCCATCAAGCTAAGTCTTCTCTGTGCTTTCCTGCCCCTTCTCCTCATTCACCCATTTCCCATTCCTGCACCTCCCAATCTATCCTGTCTCTCTCAGCTCCGTCCCTCCACTTCACCTCTGCCAGCCTAGCCCCAACCAAACGCTGTCTGCACAGCTGCTAGCCTGCTAGAGATATATAGGAGTAAACACATTTACACACATTGCTGTTATGAACCAAGTTAATTGCTCAAGAATTTCACTCAGAGAAACACATAGCAACAGTATTTCAACAGCAGTTTACGAAAGTGTTAAGCTCACAGGACCCTTATATGCAATGCACCAGCGGGGAACTAATGAATATTTACTAAATATATTAAAAGTTTCATGTCCAACAGAACATTTATTATTAATATCAATAACATGACTTCAGAATTATTCTGAATAGCTGCAGGAGAACCATAAGGCTCAGTACTCTCCTCAACATTGTTCAATATTTATAACCATGATATTTCTATCATTGATACTTCCAACACAGCTGATGATGATGCTCTACTTTCTACTAATTTCAATATCAGAAAAGTAAAATTCACATTCAAAATCATCTTGACAATAAATAAGTTGGACACAAATTGGAGAATAAAAATGAATCCTGATACATGTCAGAAGAAACTTCCACCTTATATAGACCACAGAATCAAACAAAGCTAACAGTACTAGGAATGAAAATACCATTGACAATCTCAATGAAGTATTTTGAAGTTTCTTTTGATAAAAGATTAACCAGGAAGCTATGCATCAGTGCAGTAGCAAAAAACTGGCATCAAAATTTCAAAATTATTTCCCATATTAAATCATCGCTCATTAAAAATTGAATGTTGACTGCACAAGTCAATTTTTCTTCCCACCATAACTTATGGATGTCCAAGATGGGGAGGCACAGATCCTAGCATTATAAGTCCAATTGAAGTCCTCCAAAATACATTTCTAAAAACTACTTTAAATGCTTCCTGGATCATTACTAATTAACAAATACACAGGAAATTAAAAATTCCAAAACTAGAAGAACCTAGAGCCAATTTATTAGTTGTTAATTATCAAAAAGTTATTACAACAATTTACATATTTCCCAAGAACCATCTTATTTAACATTGGAAAAATACAATCAATCCACTTACAAAATAAAAGTTTCCTAAATATAAATTCAAATCCCTTTAAACCATAACAACTTGTGCTCCTCAACATAGTCATTTCCTTTCCTCTTTTCAATCTAAACTACGTTAAATTTAATTAACAATGAATTTAGAGTTGCAAACCTCTCACACCTTATGGATGACTACCCAACAAATCCACTAACCACCCATATGCTATTATATCCCTTAAAAGACTGTATTGTCGAACTGAAAGAAGCACTTAAAAAAAAGGACAGTTATTATTACTAGGTGATTGCATCAAAAGTATTTCGAGAAGGCACAAAAGTGTTTTTAATAGTGGCACTTATCTGTTTAAGCTCACCTACTCTCTCACAACTGAAGGTCATCAGTTGATTATCCCTTGTAAAAAACATTACCCAATGAACCACTATTAAACAATTCGAAGTCATTGAACACGCTTCATTGCTGCAGTACGTGTCATCCCTTCTTGTTTTAGAGCTATTACCTGCAAGAGCAAGTGCAAGCCCTGCGGATCAAAGAGGACGTAGTGAGCTACGCAAAGTTCAAATGGCCGCTGCTGTTTTCCCGCTTCTACGAGGCCTATCGGAATTCGGGTGAGTTTTTGGCCGGGAATTCGCCCCATTTCATGAACTAACAGGTTGGCTTGCTCGATCGCTTTGCAGCATTCAATTTTTTTCTACATTAAGCGAATTATAATTTTAAACAGTGACATTTATGAACTAGACTTTTCTTAAAAATTACATTGTAATGTTCTCACAAGAAATTAGATCGAGGATTCTGGTTGGTTCTTTATCCTTAATTGGTCCAATGTAACGTTCCTTTGGCTGCCGCGGAGTGTTTTGTTTCGCATTAGTTTTCGGTGGCGGTAATTTTGATTTGAGGAACTGGCAGGACAGATTTCGCAACCGCCTGCGAATATTATTGTTAAGAAATAATCAGAGTTCTGTATTTATGAGTATTATTTCTACATTCTGAGCATCACATAGTACTAAAGGCACTTTGATACTATGAATACTGACAATAACCTGCCAGCATTTTTGTGAACGGCGGCGTGAAATTTAGAATAGATTAAAACACACGCTTTTAAAATGTTATTTCTAAATAACAAATTCTATTCTTAAAGTAGGGAAAATATTAAATTTATTATCAGTAGAAAAAAGTAGATGATATATTATTATTTAACTCTAAAATTAAATGACAAGACTTTATTAAAATATATGTAATTTTTAATAATTCGCTGAGCCTCTCTATTTCGGGTATGCAACTTCCTGCTTGTCCTCAGGGCCCGACCTGCCTAAGAACGACGTCATCATTGCTGTCAACTGGACGGGCGTGTACGTGGTAGATGACCAGGAGCAGGTGTTGCTGGAGCTGTCCTTCCCCGAAGTGACGGCTGTAGCCAGCCACAAGTGAGCGCTTTATTTTTATCGCTTAATCTGCTTCACATCATGTGCTGTGATAATGAAGTACATATGACGCTCTCGTTCCATTCTCGGAACATTAAGGGAAATACTTTATTTGCTCAGCTGGTTGTGTGGTATTTTCAAACAAACATTTCTCCCGATTGAAGTCCCTACCTGAAATTTATCATTATAAACATCATTTACAAATTGCGTGTGCCGATTAACAATGCTCTTAATTTTGGCTAATGTGGTCAAAATACTCAAACGAGTGTTTGGTGACGAAATGGGGATTGCCACATGACATGTTTTTCAGTTGTAAATGCGATCAGAATATTAGTTTATAATAGCAATACAATGGGCAGATATTTAATGCATTACATGATGCTAAAAACATTTTAACTGAATTACTTTCATTTGCACAAAATATACTAATTATTTGCTTAATGAAATTTATTTTGAAAAAAATATTTTCATTGACATGTTACGTGGTGAAGCAATGGAAAATGTACAAATTATGATTATAATATCATGAGTAATTTATTATTGTTCGAAAACAAAAAATGTGCAAATTCGACTTTGAAGGAACTGCATGTATGCAGGCTGTTTGCAAGGGCATAAGCAAGGGCAACCTTTGTAATGTGAAGGGTGTTTGCTCCGCAGGACCAGCAAGGTGTTCTCGCAGACGTTCACGCTGTCGACGGTGCGGGGCGAGGAGTTCACCTTCCAGAGCCCCAACGCAGAGGACATCCGCGACCTCGTCGTCTACTTCCTCGAGGGCCTCAAGAAGCGCTCAAAGTTCGTCATCGCGCTGCAGGACTACAAGGCGCCAGGTGCGGCCAGGCACGGCCATTCGAGCCACGTGTGCACGTGTACAGGGTGTCCGTCGAATCTTCGAAAACAAGCTCCTGAGACAATTTTAAGCGTATTTTGGCGAATAAACTACAGAGATATTCCGAATGGTTGAGCCGCAATAAGCACTCAAAAGTTGGTTTAAGAAAAGCTTTCTAGGCAAAACTTTACAATGCAGAGGCATAGAAACATTCCAAAAACTTGTAAATTGTTTATTATTCACAAAAGAAATGAATATATTTGTTCCAAAAGAAAAATTAACCCAGAAATAAAAAAGTGTAAATCGAATTGTGTAAATTGGGTGCTATTTTATTTCTGTGTTAATTTTTCTTTCTAATCAAATATATTAACTTAAAAACATTTTTTAAACCAACTTTTGAGTGCTTATTGCGGTTCTACCTTTCAGAATATCCCAGTAGTCTATTAGACAAATTATGCTTAAAATTGTCTTAAGAGCGTATTTTCGAAGTTTCGACGTTTCCTCCCCTGACTCACTTTGTATGTGTACATATGGCTCAAATGACTTACCAAATAATATATAATAATAGTAATATAATATAATAATAAACCAAATAATAATAACTTATATCCGACTTACCAAAAAATTAAATAATATAACTAAATAAAAATAAATAAATTTTAAATATATTTGGCCAAAGGCGTTTCCGATATGTGTTCCGAGGCGAATTTTGGAGTTTTTGAACAATTATTTTTTTACTGGAAAAGGTTGTAGGCCCAACAACCAACCCCCCTCCTTTCTCAGGCTTTGGGACCAGCAACGGCGGCTCCTGGCCTACTCGACCCACATAGCGCCCCCCACAAGCGGAGTTAATATCGGAAAATTTCTAGAATTTTGTAGGGAAGGACAATTTGATACCACTGTTTACTGAAACGAGCGGCACCTCCGTAACGTACGAGACAATTACCATCGCCATTTGGTGTATGTTCTTCAATCCACTTTCAATATGATGAGGTACACTCCTCCTTCATAAACGCTAAGAACCTCGAATTCGCAGAAAATAATTATTCCCGTTCGTCTCATTTATAACAGAGTGTAGACACAGTTGAGCCCCGATAATAACAATATTAGGAACTTGATTTTAAATTCGTGAGCACAATTAAGAAGTGTCCGCCATTGTTTATTAGTTCTATTTTTAAATTATGGTTTTAATACCGTTTCCCCTAAAAAAGAAAAGATTGTGACCCACGATTTTACGATTATTCTTAAATTTTAAGGTTTATCAAGAGATGACATACACGTTTTACCGAACCTCTGAAAATAATCGAATGCAAAAAATAAAACATTCAACCAGATGTTTGTCATAGTTCAAAAAAAATCGGGATTTGTCGATGGTTATATTCCTTGCAACAGGCAATACGAATATAAAATTACAATAGCATCTTCTCTAATTATTAAAATACAATTTCCCTTCATTAACGGGTTTTTGAAAATTCAGCAATAATGCTACGTAGTGAATTTTAATTCGAAATTGCAAACTTTTGAAATCGTGTTAGTCTACTTTTGCATTAAAAACATCTTTGTAAGTACGAGATCTACTAGTTAATCGCCCTGCTTTCTTACTCAACTTCCATTCTTCTGGTGTGACGTAAAGGGTGACGCATGGAATGATAATTTAAAACTATAACATGGGACGTTTGTATTAAATTAAGGCTTTTTAAGAGATCCGGAAGGTCTTCAGAAATTCATAGTCTATAGACGTGAGAGATGTCACTTTTAATTGAAACCCCATTCATAAATAATTTAAATATACGAACTAATAGTGTACTTCGAATATGTAGATGTGTATCAAAAAGTTTTAATTTTATGACGTCAAAGAGGACGACAACGGGAAATGAGAAGCGTTAGCTAAGCCGGATGCTATGAGAATTACGTACGCGATAACTTTTCACAGGACGTAACCGCGCGCCTGAGGCTCGTCGATCGTGTGAGAATTCGTTAAGCTATTCCAGTCACGCGCGAACGGGGAATCGGGAGGTTGGGCGTAATTGCGAGTGTTCTTGTTTTCTCCCTCGGGAACCAAACTATGGACGAAACCCGGATTTATCTCGCTTTAGAGACTGATATGCCAGGTGCTGAGCCACGAAGCAGCAAAGTGTGAAGCATCAGTAATAAACAATAGTTGTGTGACGCATCTGAGTGCATCACAGAGAACGTGATTCAATTAAAAACACGATGAAATTTAATATTCTCCTATGTGTTTTAAACGTGATAGAAAATAATTGAAAAAGAAGAATGATAAAGATAACAAATGAGAGTTATAGAAATACGATTAATATAAGAAGCGATCCAAAATTTTAATTACATTCGTATTTTAATCTTTTTATATTAAAATAATAGATTTTTGCATATTCTCAAATGCTATTGAACCCAGACTTAAACTGCAATTTGAATTAAATAGAAATAAAACTACATGCCTTAAAACTTAACATTAAAATTGTTTTTTTTATGCTGAATCAGTTATATGAATACGAAACGAGTCTACTTCCCTTCATTTTCTCTTTCTGAGAAAATCTTACTTATTGACGATCTTATTCCCTGTATCTACTGTTGCCCACTACCAGAAATATATCGTCGAGTCCGTGACGCGTGAACACATCTAAGTTGCTATCTCGTACCGCGTGAGCAGTTCACATCCGACCTCCCTCCGCGCCATCCGTTCCCGCAACACAACGCCTTCGTTTGAGAAGTCTCGTTTGCGTTTCTTCCCAGCAGATCCCTCCGTCCTTTTTACGCATATTCCCATAAGCTTATGCCTTGACGAGTATCCAGGTGGTCGTGATTCCCCAAACACGGTGAGTCGCCTCGACGCCAGCTAACGGGCGGCGGCGGCGGCGGCGGCGTGGGCGAGAAGCGGCCGGGCGTCGCGCGTCGCGCAGTGGCGCCTGGATCGCGCGGCCGCAGACACCTCCGCGCGCCGCTGCGCACTGCGGGTTGCCTACCGCCTCGAGGCCGCCAGGCGCCCCGCAATCGGTTCGGTCGTTGCGTCGTCGACGTAGGTTTTCGTCCGTTCCTCGCTTTAAAAAAACGTGAAATAAATTGTTTTGCGACAAAAGTGTCAAATAATGGTCTAACAGTAACGCGTTGTGGAACATTTCAATTGAAATCTGTAGTAGTCACGGAACCCGAAGGAATGCAATGTAAATCAACCTAATAAGAATATGGAATATCTTCTGACTTTTTAGTAGAAATGCATGTAGACTTCGATTACTTAACGAGTACTGTTTATTGAAAATTCAGTGCATATATCGTGGTGTCGATGTCTCAATTGATAAATTTATTGGGAATTTAATGTCTACCGATTATTTTTATACTGTTCATGTGTTTGTTTTTTATTTGTTCAAATAATTTCGTGTTTGTGAAGTGTAATCACGCTAGGAAAAATATATGCCGTAAAATGGCAGACACTTTAATAATATTCTAATGTTGAACATTTTAGCGTATCATCGTACAAATTGCAACAAACATTTGTGACAGATAATTGTGACCCACCTACTGAATGAGTGTATTAGGATTAAACGATCGGTCCAGTGATTGCGAAATTGAACCAACAATCGCACTAAGGATTACGATTATCAATCGCGATTGATTATTCTCAGAATGTGATCACAGTAGTGTGAAGCAAACGAAACACATTCACCGAGCTACCAACATTCCGCGACAGTGACCGTGTTCCCCACATTGTCCCAACCCCCACGAGTCGGGGCAACTGATTCCGATGTCCCGGTAGCCCTTGCCTTTGATGCGCGCCCCGCTCTCCTGGTTCGGTTCGGTATCGCTCGCGTCGGCCGACGCGCCGCGCCGCCGCCGCCGCCGCCGCCGCCGCCGCCCGCCGCTCTGCCGCCGCCGCCGCGTCCGCGTGCCGCCGCGCCAGCCCGCCGCGCCGCCGCGCCGCCGCCGCCCGCCGCCCTGGGCGCGCGGTTGCAGGCGGATGGCCCGCTGCTGGCCTGCGTGGCCCCGCGCCGCCCCGTCGGCCGAGCGGCGACGGCGACGCCCGGGGCGGGGGCGGGGGCAAAGGCATGCCCTGAGGGAGCGCGGCCGGGCGTGTCCGCAGGGGAGGGCTCGTCCTTCCTCACCTTCCAGAAGGGCGACCTCATCGTGCTGGAGGACTCGACCGGGGAGACGGTGATGAACTCGGGCTGGTGCGTGGGCCGCTGCGAGCGCACGGGCGAGCGCGGGGACTTCCCGGCCGAGACGGTGTACGTGCTGCCGGCGTGCAGCAAGCCGCCGCAGGACATCCTGGTGAGTGGCGCCTGCAAACCCTCTTTTGCCACGAAGCACTTTCAATTGTTCCCATCTTGCATGCTCGTAGCTCTTTTATCACTTTTTATCTCGTTGATTTTGAAGTGGGTAAACAAATATCTTACATACTCGTGCATATGTATATATAAAAGTTCGTCTGGCAAAAATACTCGTCTATATATAGACGAGTATTTTTGCCAGACGAACTTTTATGAACAGTTCTGTTTGAAATGATGGAAGTACTTTCTCACTTGATGGTAGTTCGTATTTTTATAATAAAATATTATGATAGAAACGTGTCTCAATAATATAGAAAGTAATTAAAGAAGATGATTTTCAATTATAAATCGTTATATATTTTGATATATTCTGTCATTTGGATATTTTGAAAGCACACTTGAAATGATGAAACCGACAACTTTATAAATATTTCAACTGTTCGTAATTAAAGAAAAATACATAATTCCAGTATTTTAAATGGCATTTTTTCTTTGATAGTTTTGGTCCAGGACTGAAAAAGCTTAGATCCCTAATTATTTATGTTGTTAATCTCGAATTATCAAACCGATTCTATCGAACGATCAGAGTCTATTTTCCTTGTTTCACTGATGCCAAGGAAAACCCCAAATAATTAATGCAAAAATAACTTGTTTCCTGAAATAATTTACAGCTAGTCGGTTTTCCAATTCATTATTATTATCGGGTTAGCGAAATGGCGAAATTGAAAATAGAGCTTTTAGCGCTTATCAGTAGGTTATTTAATGTGCGAGTGGTCCGTAAAGGATATTTGTCACATTTGAAACACGCGGTGGAAAGTTTCATGAAGCAAGAGATTGAAAGTGAATGTGAGAACCTGCGCGAGTGGACGATATTGAGAATGGTAAGTAATGCCAACCGAGATCCACATACATTGATTTTTAATTGTTATGTATATTTTCGTTCTTACTTAGCTGGTTAGGTTATTCTAAAGCTGTGCCTCCTGATAAATACTGATTAATGATTTTTGCTACATTGTTTTGGTCTTGTCTGCGTTTGCTAGTGTACAGCAGGATCCTATTCTGTGTTCTAATGTTTCTGTTGTTTCATGACAATTTCGGCATTTATCATCTGAAATTGCTTCCTTGATTATGTATTCCGATAATTTTGTATTATTATTATTATTATTATTATTATTATTATTATTGTTATTATTATTATTAAATCCCGGTGTCTGTATTTGAGGACGTGTGTGTGTGTCGCAGGCGCTGTTCAGCATGGAGGGCGCGGAGCCCGGGCGCCGCTTGGCCGCGCCGCCGTCCGTCGGCGTGGACCCGCGCGACAAACCTCACACGCTGGCCGAGTACGCCCTCGACCACTTCCGGTAAGGGGCGGCGCCTCGCCCAAATCTCTGCATTCGCACGTTTTCTTGAAATAGTGTAACAAAATTGAATTTGCTCCGCGTTGGGCATGCCAATTTGCAACGAGCCTCATGTCTTTCCATTTCGTCAGCTATCTTTAACTCAACTGATTTGGGTAACCGTTTGTGACGTTTTAAATGTTATTTGAGCCGCAATGCTGGATGATTGGCAGGCCGCCGCCGAAGCGGACGGTGTCGAAGGCGCTGACGTTGGCGGCGGCCGGGCGGCGCGGCGCCGCCGACGAGCTGTGGCGCCACTCGCGCGAGCCGCTCAAGCAGCCGCTGCTGCGCAAGCTGCTGGCCAAGGAGGAGCTGGCCGAGGAGGCGTGCTTCGCCTTCGCCGCGCTGCTCAAGTACATGGGCGACCTGCCCAGCAAGCGCCCGCGCCTCGGCAACGAGTACACCGACCAGATCTTCGACGGGCCCCTCAAGCACGTACGTCATGTTGCACACACACGCCACCCCTGAGCAGCTCAGAGGGGGCATTCTTAATAAATAATTAAAACCAACTTAATTTTAGCTTAATCTAATTGTATACTTAATAAGTAAGCGATTTGGCATACCTAACTTGAAACTAATTTTCTTAAGTGTTGTTGCTTCTTTCTTAGTAACATTTTTTTTACATTCCCTCGTTTTTACGTTCCCCCATTCATACTTGTTTCATTATATACATAACCATTCACGCATCCCAGTCACTCACAATGCACTCCACTACAGCACACAGTTCGCCTCGGCAGTGGCTTGTCTCAAAGAGTCGTTGGCGCTCAGGCCCTCTGGGAGGCGCAGGGTGGCATGTGGGGCGGGGTTGCTCGCACGAGGCGCCGCGCGGCTCACTGGCAGTGGGAGTAGGGTATTTTGCTTCGTAGGGAGTAGGGTGTTTTGCATCGAGAGAAGAAAATTCTCGCGTAAATTGAGTGATTGTCAACATTTCATTTCTGGTAGCAACATGAGAGAGAATTTTGTGGGGGGAGGGGGGTACCACGATCATCCCTCTCTAGTGTTTCGTGTCCCCTGCTGGAAATGCGTTACTTTCTCTACGCCAGAGATACAATTACTCACATTACCTTGTTTATAATTTCCACACTTTGAAATGTTCAAATCAAGGGCAAGTAATGCACATGAAGGGAAATGGCAAGACAATGTCGTTGAACGCGTTTTGAGGAATCGTTCTGACTGCGTTGCGAAAGATCTTCCCTCGTGGAGTTGGAAGCTTCCCTCTCGAGAGGTCTGGCAATTCGTCTCCTGTGGAGCAAAGATAAGAAAACACAAGCTTCCTCCAGTCAGTCCTGTTTCCAGCCTTCTTAAGACCTCTCAATTCATCCCTACGTTTCTTGTCCTTAAATCTACCAGTACAATCTGCCGCTATGCTCTGCGATCTTCGGCGTCCTGGTTTTGTGGCACCTTCAGATGCTTTGCAGAATTTTGGATACTTCCTTCTGGTTTTCGTAGAGAATTTTCATTTATTTTGTTTTATTTGGATTTCGTTTTAGCCTTTCTTTTACCGCAAGCTCTCGATTCCACTAAGGATAATTCCTTAGTTCGTGAGATTCTTGTAATGTGTAGACACAGCGTTAATTCATTACCACTATTTGTGGTTTACGAAAACAAAATACTTCAATTTCTGAAATCAATTTTTAAAACTATGTTCAATTTTTAAATGATAATTTAGAGTTTTAAATGAAGTCTTTTGAGCAGGCCCAGCTGTAGCACAAAAACTGAGTTTTATTATTTAAACACATTATTCGCACATTATTGTCGCACCAACAGAAGGATGTTTCGGATTCTTCCTCTTCCATGTGAGTGGGAAACGCAACGGAAACTGGTCTCGTGGCCTCAACCGCTAACAGATCAAAGTCCTCCAGAAGCCAAATATGCAATTTGCTTCTCAGGTATAATGTAAATGTTTCACTTGTAATGCAACGATTCACGTGTATGCAATGTGCTTTTCACGTGCACAAATGCAAATTTAGAGTAGAGATTTTTTCTCTTAAACACTAAGCTTGGAATCAAACGTTTAAAAAATCATTTTGTAGAGTAGGGGATAGAAAATCAAAAACTTTGTCCCTACGGTACACAAAAATCTAGTTTTAAGTTCCCTAAAACTCATCGCATTAGAATAATGCACGACAATAGTGTCCTTAGGTGTGTTGCGGGTTGCATCTACATGATGTGTATTTTATTTAATTTTCCTATATTTGTAGTAAATTTTATACTTACAGTTTTGCTTTCTGTTCTCCCCCAAATAAACTTTAATTATGTCAAATAGTACACTTCTCCATTGGCGCCAAATACTTAAAAAGGGATGCAAATTTTTCTCTTTATATATATATTAATATAGATGCATCAGAAAACCGTTCTGGGATATGAGGTGATAGGGCCAAAATATCTTTAGACTTTCACAGGTAGCCAATACCTTACCAATTGGGCTGGTAGTTAATGATGAACAAATTATTTGTTATGAGGTACCATACTCTTCTTTTTTTGGCTTTCTTTCCATTTTCATTCATTAATAATTCCCCATCATTATTTTTATTATTACTCATCTACAATGACAGGTCCATACTCAATTCCTGCAGCATTTTCCAAGGCAGTATAAATAGAACAAAAAGAGCTGAAGTAATTAACAACTACTGATAATTAAATTATCTATCTGAAAAAGATGTATGTAAAAAAAATTCATTGTCAAATTCTTTATATTCTACTTAAAAATTATGTAAAATAGTATACACATATTTTTAATTAATATTTATTTATAGTTGAGAGCTGTGAGATGTTGGGTAATTGGTATTTCACAATCATGCTCCTAACAAACAAATATGAAAACAGGTTCAAAAATTGTAATTTTTTTTAAAATTATTTTTCTTTCAGTTACTATTCTCAAATGACTCCATTGACAGCCTCAGCATTTATAATTTCATTTGATTCTAAAGAATGGAAAGCAGTAACTTCATTATAAATCCCTTAATTTATGTATATGTCTGTAATATCTATTGATAACTATTGAATTTTGAGAAAACCCCAATCATAAATTCAGAATATTAGTTTCATTTTAAAACTTAATAACTTATACAAACATTTGAAAATAAAATGTTTATATTGTAAAATTAATTTAATTTTGTTCAAGTATGAATTGGAATATTTTGACTTACACAGGAAATACTTCGGGATGAAATTTTCTGCCAAATAATGAAACAACTGACAGACAATCGCAATAGACTGAGCGAGGAACGTGGCTGGGAATTAATGTGGCTGGCTTCGGGCCTCTTCACATGCAGTCAGAGTCTTCTGAAGGTGAGTATATTACAGTGACATACTTCTTTCATGAACTTCAATGTATGAACATGTGTAGTTCAATGGTAATGAAAATATTAGGTTTTCCTGTTAAAAATGATAAAGGATATTAGGAATAGACGCTCAGTATATAAATTTCGAAGGAAAAATGTTTAGTCACATAGAAAGATGAACTCAAAACTTTAAAAAGAAAAGAACAAGAAATTGTTATTATTGTTTCAGTTACTTTAAAATAACACCCCCATTATTTCTATAATTACTTAACAACTAACTTTACAACTGAATATTAAATTATGTGCTTCAGGAATTACTTCTGTTTTTACGATCAAGACGACATCCTATCGCACAAGACTCTCTTCAGCGACTGCAAAAGACATTACGTACTGGTCCTCGGAAATACCCTCCTCACCAGGTTGAAGTGGAAGCAATACAGCACAAAACAACTCAAATTTTCCATAAAGTTTATTTTCCAGATGATACTGATGAGGTGAGTTTTGAAAATTAATACCAGAAATATAAGAACCCTTAAATATGAATATGTTGTAATATTATTTTGAAACAAAATATTCAAACATTAATTGGTGTCTGTGGTCTTCACATTTATTAGTAATTCTGAATAATGTACTTTCTTACATCCAGGCATTTGAAGTGGACTCTTCTACACGCGCCAAGGACTTCTGTCAAAACATATCCCAAAGACTGAATCTGCGTTCTGGTGAAGGCTTCTCATTGTTTGTAAAGATAGCAGACAAAGTCATTTCAGTGCCTGAAGGCGACTTCTTCTTTGATTTTGTGAGACATCTTACTGACTGGATTAAAAAGGCACGCCCTACACGAGATGGTGGGTACAAAATCCAGGGTTAAGAAATATTATTTTAGTTAACGATTTGGAAATTATGCTATTGCATTTTTGAATGGTTTGGTTTGGTGAATTAATAGTTAAAGTTTTGCTTGATTTTTTTCAATATTCACAGAGTGCTAGTCTGTTCTAAAATATGAAAACAGAAGTATGATACTTACAGTGTGATAATGTCTAAATCTACTGAACCAATACCAATGAAGCTTTTGTGCTAGTAAAAAAATATAGCTAATAAATAGAGCCCATAGTTTCAGGCAATTTATATGAAATATGTAGGCAAAAAGGCATTTATTTTTACTAAAGTAGGCAATGTAGAAAGGCACTTATTTTGTCTTAATAGAGGTGCAAAATTGCATCCTACGTAGAAGCAGTCAACAAATTCAAATTCCTAGGAATCACTCTCCAACATTCAGGAAGAGTCTTTACAAAACATATAGAAGAGAGGGTAGCTGAAGCAATTACTGCAATAAATGATATACAGCTTTTAAGGCAACTGAATCTGAACACAGCAATGAAAATATTCAAAGCAAAAATTTGCCCCCCCCCCATCCTATGGGATAGAAATCACTTGGCCAAACCTCACGGAAGAGAACCTGCTAATACAATACTACAAGAAGTAAAAGCCACATTCTTAAAAAGAATATTAAGAGTTTACAAAACATCTAAATCAAGATTAGTTTATGGGCTGTCAAGAGAAACCCAGCTGATACATGATTTTATGATTCCACTCCTCCTTCCTCAAATAGTAGCATCACAATGTGTTGTCAGAAAAGCAGGGGAAAATAGGAGACAGATTTGGCCGGAATTCTACACCACAGAAGAAATGAACAAGAAGATATGAGATGAGGCATGTGGTCACCATGCTGGCAGTTCTTGATTTCCACTTTTAACTTTGCAAAACAAAGACCTTCCAATAGCCAAAAAAACATGCAAGTGCGAACTTTGTGGGATAACCTGCACTCATTATCATATAGAGTGGTGAAAACAAAGGGAATTATCTATTAATTAACATGCTAAAATACAATAGGGCTGCAATAGTGAACACAAAGAGAAACTCGCAACTTGTATTAGAAACAAATGAACATCTGTGTGTCTCCAGGCGTATGTAAGTAATTTGTGCCAATTCATTTATTTTGGGCACACTAATTGCACGAAATATCACACCGGCCCATGATCACTCACTTGATACCTAGAGCGAGATGTACCTTAATACTGTTTCTGGTTGTGTCAGCCACACACCAAAATCTAGAAGTAGCCATAGCATTGCAAGCCAAATGGAATAAGAAAGAGATATGAGCTGTCACATACCTCTGGGGAATAGTCAAAGACATTTTCTACACATACTACGGGCTAAAATACTGTGAGAATCAGGATTCCCATTCATTCAATTTTTTGGGGGGCTAGGGAGGATACCCCCCCAGGTCCGTGCCTGCCTAATTGTTGAAACGAAATCATAAGAAATTAAGAAGGCATTTTGCCAGCCTTAGGGGCTCTTCTTATAATAGAAAGAAAAAGAACATATCTTAATTTTGTGAGTGTTTATATATACACCATAACTACTCTTCAGTAATATCAGCAGTTTAATGAACTTATTTTCTATAATAAGAGAGAATGCTTTTTTGTCAAATACGAAGTGCCAACCATAAATAAGCCTAAATTTGCTTATCTAATAACCAAGAGTAGACCTATTCACCTCAGAAAATAAATTAATTTCTTCTCAAAAAATTCATAATTCACATGTATTTTGTTAATACAATGCTTGTCATTGGAATATTTTTTTTTTAACATTGTGGAGATAAAAAAAATATTGTATGTGCATAAATGTTGTTTTCTATATAAACTATTTCATTGTTGCAGAATCAGTAATAGACATAGGTACATCAAATATAATAAGACATGAACATATGTTCATAATCAATATATTTACCAAAAAATTAATTATTTAGAGTGTGTTGTTTAAATAATATTGAAAGGAAGATACTTACAATGAATTCATTTTTTTAAATATTTTTTTCCTCCCTTTATTTGCTGTTTACTTTCCAATAAAAAAATTCTCAAATATTGACCATGTCCCTCATCTTCTTACTTGTCAGTATCTCCTGCCAATCTGTTTCAGGTGCTGCACCACAGTTTACTTATCAGGTATTCTTTATGAAGAAACTATGGACTAACACGGTTCCTGGTCGTGATCGTAATGCAGATCTCATTTTCCATTTTCATCAAGAGCTTCCAAAACTTTTGCGAGGATACCACAAATGTGGTCGTGAGGAAGCTGCACGGTTGGCAGCTTTGGTCTATAGAGTGCGCTTTGGTGAAAGCAAACAAGAACTTCAAGCTATTCCGTGAGTAACTAATTCTTGTTCTTTGTTTACAAATATTATCAATTTTTTTAATAACATTCAGTGATCTGAAATTAATTTGGATATTTAGTAGTAATGAGTAAAACATTGTAGTTTTTAGTTTTGCCTTTTCGAGATTTTATCTCTTAATGTTTCATAATTGTTATTGTAAGAGGTGGGAACCATTCTTTTCAGAAGACTTCTGTGTAATATTCACTGTGAGTTAATTAAATAATTAGTAGCAGTACTTGATTGAAATTCATGTTTAGTTTAAAGGGAAATTTACCTTGGGTTTGATTTTTTTTTTTTTTTTTTTTTTTTAATGGAGGATACTGCTGTTTTTCAAACATTAAAACACAGAGCCAATTATGTAACAATAATGTCAACATAAAAAGACAAGTATGGGTATAAATATCACTGATAATAGTGAATAATTGCATATTATTGGAGTAGAATTGATTTATAAGAGAAAAATCACAGTAAAACTCAATGTCATTTGAGTTTTGTTACTTGAGCAAGCTGTTTGTGAATTATGTTCTTTTCTTCCTTTTTATGTTATATTATTCTAAATAAATATTCTCAGACTTTCTTCAGTTGAAGGACATCTTGGATAATGAATATATGCATCCAGAAAATTTCATTAAAGATTGATAGTGACTTTATATCAGTCAAATATGCATACAATGGTAATATCTGGGATTTCTAAAAATTACCAATTGTAAATATAATTAATATTGAAGTATTAAAATCAATTGAGTTAAAAACATATTTTATATTGCTATTATTATCAAGTATATCTACATTATCCTCAAATTCATGTTAAACAGGCTACAGTCTGCTAACAAACACTTTGTTAGCAAATAGATAATATAAGAATAATTGTAGGTAAGCCTAGGTAGCAGTGATCCACAAAGTATTTTGGAGAGATTTTAGGTCAGAACTCCATAAATATTTATTAAATTGTTAGATTGAAATTAAAAAAATAAAGTAAAGAGTGTGTTCAAAATGGGAATACTCTTTGGATGTGTGAGAGGTAATTATTTTGGATAAATTAAGTAACACCATAATAAATGTTTGGCTTAGAGGGAGAGAGCATGGCGCTTCTTTGAATCCACTAGTGAAACTATTTGAGAAACTATTCAGTAATGTGAAGAAAAAAATGTTAATGTAAATCTCTCTCTCTCTCTCTCTCCTACCTTTTGAGCAAAGATAGGAAGAAGAAAGATGACTCTAATGAAATAATTTCATAAAATAAAATTTAAAACATTATTCAATCTCAGTGCGAGCTGTAGAAAAGAGAGCACTTCAACAATAAGAGAGGCTGTAATGAAACTATCAAATCTTTACATTTATAAAATGCTTAGTTAGCAGTGACAATATTTTGGATAAAATGTCACTTCTTTCTTCAAATTCTTTATAATACATACACAAGCCATGAGAAAGAAAAATATTTCAAGATCAAAGCATTTTTAAGAATAATAATTTTAATTAAGTGTTGAATTTTTTGTAAAATGTTATTTTAATGCTTATGCATGGCATATAACAGAGAACTATAAATGTTGTCAAATGTGATGTACCTCCATTTAATAAAATGTTTATATACTTTTCTCTTTTCATGTGAGATGAATATAACATGTATTAACATGTTTCTTAGTTGATAATAGAAAATGTTAACACTAAAACAAGCAATTTTCTTGAGAAGAGCGATAAAAATGAGAAAGAATTGTTTTAAAAAGGAATTTTGAAATTTGTTTCAAAAATTTTGGATAATAAATTCCCAAATACATGTACATTAAAGTTTTCCTGTATTTTTAATTGCAGGATATCTTAATTGCAGTATAGCTTCAAGTTTCAGAACTTTACTTTTTCTTGACTATTGTTAAACAATGTATTTATTACACAGAAAGTATTTAAGAAACCAGTTTATCTGAATTTTATTTTTTTGACAAGTTTTTACTGATAAATTCTTGCATGCAAAAAAATGCTTTCTACTCAATTTTATGTAATATGCAGTAAGAGCATGGATTATCCGAATACTGATCAATCAAAACATCCATTGACTGGTGTTCCAGTACACACAGAGAAATTAATTTGCATTCTCCAAGTACATAGTTCCATTTATAGCACTTTCCTAAACTGTAGGCCTTCACAATATGTATACAATACTGTACAAGGTTTTATGTTTAACATGTATCACTGTTTAAACATAGTTTTCTAAACTATAAGCCTACACAATATACAATTATAAGGTTTTGTATTTAAAATGTATCACTGTTTCATACAACTTGTTTGAAAATGATCAGTTATTCAAAATATCAATTATCTTTATTTCGCCTCCTTGCATTGTTTTGGATAATAAATTCCCTATTGTATCCCTAATATTTTGAAATTGGAATATGTTTCACAACACATTATTGCAATGTTTGGGAATACCATTTCCATTGAAAACAATGTTCATTACTTATAAATTCAGTAACAATTATAATTCATACATAAACGTATGATAAAAATTTCCATTCATATAGTTTCTTAAATCATCAGTTCTGTTAAAATGTAAAAAATTCTTGAACCTTAAATATTGTACTGATCTTACTTGAAGTTTATGACAATTTTCAGACAAATGTTACGCGAATTGGTGCCTGCTGATTTGCTCAAGACTCAAAACGCCAATGACTGGAAACGGGCGATTGTTGCATCCTACAATCAGGATGCTGGTATGAGTCCAGAAGAGGCCAAAATCACCTTCCTAAAGATAATCTACAGGTGGCCCACGTTTGGATCAGCATTCTTTGAGGTGAAACAGACTACTGAACCAAATTATCCTGAAATGCTGCTCATTGCTATAAATAAACATGGTGTAAGCTTAATTCATCCTCAGTCAAAGGTAGGTACTTTTGCTCTTTTCAAAGGAAACTGTTACTATGAAATTCACTTTCTATTTCTCTGTCAACTCTATTTACTATTAAAACTACTTTTGAAGTTGTTTTAAACAAATATTCGGAGTAAGGATTGTATGCATATAAGTTTTATACCACTTCTACTTCCATGGGTGCTAAAATTTCAGTCAATCCTCATCTAATTCAGCATAGTATTACAAATTTAAATTATCAGAATATTTGAATTAAAATATCAGATTGACAATGTACAATGATGTGTAATTGTAAATAAGAAAAACATTTTCAATAACCAATGGCAAGTATTGAAATGTAATCATTAGGTTCGACATCTCTTCTTTGAATTTCTTGCCAGCAATAATTTATTAATCAAATTATTATGAAAATGTTATCTTATATCTTTATTGAATTTTATACTGGCTACTGATTTAGAAAATGTTTCATGAAATCAAAATCATTGTATTTATCTCACTGTCAACATCATAATCTAATTAACAACAATATTAATATCATTTTTGTTCTTTTTCGTTACTCGATCTACGCTGTTAACTGAAAACAGAGCAGACTTTCAATAAAACTTTCATAGAATTTTTAATTTTGTGATATTTGTAGGGGTATCACATTCTGTATGGTATAACATTGGCTAAAACTATCTTTAAAAACACATGTTCTTATGATATACATGAAAAGATAAATTAATGATTAATTTGTAAATTAGCATCATTGCACATGTACATTAAAGTTTTCGTGTATTTTTAATTGCAGGATATCTTAGTGACACATCCCTTCACAAGAATCTCTAACTGGTCATCAGGCAATACCTACTTCCATATGACCATAGGTAATTTAGTACGTGGTTCCAAACTTCTGTGCGAAACATCTCTCGGCTACAAGATGGATGATCTACTTACCTCCTACATCTCTCTAATGCTCACCAACATGAACAAACAGCGGGGAACTCTAAGGATCAAATGACCTCTAGACTTGTGTAAATTACAGAATTGGGTGCTATGGGGAATTGACTGATGGAGCTTGCCTCCTATTTAGCCCTTTTGTGTTCATTTACCACAAATCACAACAGGCCATAGGACAAGCTACCCTTTACCATAGTTTCAGGCTTTTTTTTTTGTGAAGCATGAGTGGTAAGCATGTAATAGTGAACTAGAAACATCAATAGCTTTTTATCTATATTGTTCATTATTTGGAATTTTAGATCCTTTTCACTCTATTTATTTGAAAGGCTTGATTCTTGCATTGTTTTACAAAATGACAATATCGGAGGGATAAAGATACTTGTGATAGACCAGTAAGGATAATTTATTCCACTGGATGCACTGCAATTCTAGGATTAAGAGGTAAAAAAATGTCTCCCTCTAGTTTTTTAAAGGAATTGTTAGGAAGTTGTAGGGCATGATACTGGATCGTGCATTGACTGGGATTTGTGCAATGGAACACCACACTATATGGCATAAGCCACTGTAGTTCCAATCCGTCCACTTATGAACCCTCCATGGTAGCATTACAAAACTAGTAATAATTTCTTATTGTAGATGATTATTCCCTTTAAGAAAGATCCTTTGCCCACCATTATTTGCCACGGTCCAATAGAAGTAAGATCTTCCAAAAATACTCTTTAAATGTGTGCTTCTGAAATGTTTATAATATTTTTTTTAATATTATATATACTTATGAATGCCGATTTCTATTCTCTGCCTCATCATTACTACAGCTGATTGTATGTGGGCCAAGCGTGTATGTGCAACTGTATATATTATGCAACTGTGTAAGTTCATCTCCTGTAATTTATATAGTTATTAATATCAAATTTCAGGATAAAGTGTAATAATAACCTGAATTATGTTGAGTTAACCCTGTTGTGAGCTACCCCAGGTTAATGAAATAAAATTACTTTCAACTGTTATTGTGGATGTTTTTTGCTTTGGAAAGGAAATGAATGACATATTTACTTTGTGGAACCTTTCATTTATTATGGACACCATAGACAAATTGGACAAATTTCACAAAACACAGACATTGAAACTACTGTTTCTATTTGTGATAGGTTCACACATACAGGCAATAAAATACTTTTCTCTAAATCTTGACTCTGTATGTACAAAAATTATAAGTCACACAGTACCTTGTATCATAAATAACATTTTTAGTCTCTTGACAAAGCACATCTTACTCTCTTTTGTATACATTCACTCATAAACACTGTCACATTCATACAAATTGCTTACATTTCTGTAGCTGTTAAGTTACTCTATAAATCACAAGTTACATGTATTGATACTACAAATTTTTCTTTATTGCTGCTAATCAATTGACCCACAACCACATAAATAAGAACCATGATTAAGCAAGTGACCTACAGGTCCACCTTGTCCTTGGCCATATAGGGCTCTTTGTAGCTGTGCATCTGTCCTTAGCAAACCCATTACACAACACTAAAAACATGGCACAGGACCATCAGTCAAACATTAGCCCTCGACCACGGACGAGATTACAATACTGATCTGATACCAACTCATTGGCTTCAGTCTGGAAATAAAATGTGGATGTGGACAAACACTGGATTGAAAATAAACAACTAAACTCTTTAGTTAAATTTGACTCATCACAAGAGATTCAATTTTGAAAATGAGCAAGGGGTCAATGCACATCTCCGCCTGCTGCGTTGTCTGCGCAGGGAGACGGTGCACTTAAGTCACCATGCTAGAGCGAACACCGTTTGTACTTTTCCTCGCAGCACTGGTCGCGCGCCTTACATGCCGGGGGGCGGGGCTGGGTGGTGGGCGCCCCACGGCACGTCGGCCGGGGCCAGGGGCGGCGGCGGGGGCGGGGGCCGGGAGGGGGACGGTGCAGCGAGGCGCCGGCCCCCGCCCTTCATGATGTCGTCGGCGGGGGGGCAATGCGGCCTGGGGCCCGGCTCCGGGGTGTACGTGAAAGTGAGCCCCGTGGCGTAAATGATCCCGTCGTTTCGGACCAGCGATACCGGCACTTGCGTCGGCTGCCGCACCCAGTGCCACTCCCCGCGGAATTGCGAAATCTCCGGCACGACGCACAGCATGCTCTCCTGGCACCGGTACATGGTCTCGGCCTCCACGTCGCCGAACCACACCTGCAGGTTGGGGGTGAAGTTCTCGCCGGTGAGCTCGAGCATGGCGACGTCGCCCCCGCCGTTGAGGTGCAGGCTGTGCACGACGGGCACGGGGGTGACGGGCGAGCGCACGGGCCCCATCCCCTCGAAGAACTGGTACTCGGCCTTGTCCGTGCTGATGATGGTCCAGCACGCGCCGTCGTTGATCATCTCCTTGTTGGGCTCCTTGGGGCAGGGCGTGGCCTGGAACTGGATGATGCGCTCCTGCGACAGGCACAGGTACATGCGCTCCGTGTCCTTCATGTAGAAGGCGCACTTGTGCAGCTGCGACACCGGGTCGTCCGCCTCCAGCAGCGCCATCTGCTTGTCCACCTTGCGGATGATGAGGCGCGGCAGCGCCATGCCCGTCACGCTGCACACCAACTTGACGGTGCTGCCGTAGTGCACGTAGCCGTCGCGCACCGCGAACTCCTCCGACTCGGACTCGTTGTCGTCCAGCAGGTGGATGGTGAAGGCGCCCCACTGCGTCGAGCTGGCGTGGAAGTTGCTGTTCTCCACGTGCAGGTAGCGCGTGCTCACCGTCTGCGAGCGCAGCCGGTTGAACAGCGCCACCTTGGTGCCGCTGGCGATGCACAGGTCGGCGTTCTTCAGCGACTGCTTCTTCTTCGACGGCTTCGAGATGACCTTGATGCGCTTGCTGTGGAAGACGCCGATGTCGTGGCCGTTGCCGTAGAACATCTTGACGGACAGCATGAAGTGCTTGCGCTTGTCCGAATCCGAGATGTAGAGGGTCTTGGCGGCGCAGTACTGCTTGCCGTTGTTGAGGTCCAGCTGCTGCATGTCCTGGTCGGAGTTGCCGATGCCGATGAAGGCGCACAGCTGCGCCGCCTGCTCCGACTCGCCCTCCCGCAGCATGCGCTCCTGGCGCAGCCGCCAGCCGTCGCCGTACAGGTAGATGCAGGGCGGCGGGCAGAAGAAGCGCTTCTCGTTGCCGTACGACTTCTGCGCCACCTTGGCGTGCAGGATGACGATGATCATGTCGCAGCGCTCGCGCTCGCGCAGGTAGCGCTCCATGGCCTCGCGCGTCAGGCGCTGCTCGTCCTGCCGGTACAGCATGGAGCTGAAGCGCTCGAACAGGTTGGGGGGCGACGGGGGCATCTGCATGCCGTGGGCCATGGCGGGCACTCCGAACTGGTGCGGCATCCCCGGCGGCAGCGGCTGCTGCTCGAGCTGGTGCTGGGGTTACTGCGCTCGCGTCGGCGGCTGACGCATGCCGCGCCGGCGCGCGGGCGCTCGCGTCGCTCCGCTCCGCTCCGACTGCCGGGGGTGGGGCCCGGCGCGCCGGCCGACAGAGAGACACACAGGCAGATGGAGCGGGGGCCGGTGTCGCCTGCGCGGCCCAGCTGCGCGCGGGGGAGGCGCCCGGAGCCTGCTCTCATGCGCCGACGCGGACCTGTAACACAGAGGCGCGCGCGAACTCACCCACTGCTCAGGCGCGGACCCACGGGACGGAACGTCCCCCCCCCCACACACACACACACACACAAAAAATGTTTCTGTAACTATTGTCTAATTGTCACGAAATTTGAGTAAAAAATATTTTCGAGTAATCGTTAATATGAAAAAAGAACAGGTCAGATGGACGAGATAGTTAGGGCAGTAGTGTCGTAGCGGTCTCGAACCAGAAAACCGAGGGTTCGAGTCCCGCCTCGGGCATGGGTGTATTTGTGTATGTCTAGATGTGTGAGCTGTCCTTTCAGTCCTTACCATCTCATCGTCCAGGGGTATAGAAACTGGGGGTAATAAAAATCGAGATTCAGCTAAAATGCTGACCCCCCCCCCCCCGAAAGGTACTTGTCTGCTGAAGCAGGATGCATGCGTGGTCCGAGTTGGCCTATAAGCACGGGGGGAAAAGAAAGGAAAAAAAGGGAAACATCGTATTGCAGCACGAGTTGAGTGTAGCCTACGCCATTTTACAAAATCTCTAATGTGACACCTTCGACCCAAACATTTTGAATTTCCCCTCCCGAAATGTGTCCCTGGATCCGCTCCTCCTCCACCTGCGTGCTCAAGAGGCTGTACGAGAGTATGTTTTTGAGGCCTGAAAAGTCAACTCAAATCACGTGCAGCACGGTTCTCTTTTCGTTATCTTTGTTCAACTAACTACATATCCGGTCGATAAAATATAAGCTGCACATTTAACGCGTGAGTTCCGACGTTTTCAATTTCGGGAAAAAACACAATTTAACATTACATTGCCACTGAGTATTCCGAACTATAACCAACCCGCTCTGATTATACATAATCGACGAATTTGTGCTTCGATTATTAATTCACCTGTTGCCATCTCAACTCTGTAACTCATATCGCTATTTTATTATTATAACTGACCTAACGCTATATCAGAGAAGTGCGCGTACTGTTTGTGTTTAGTAATGGTCATCCAATGAACTAGCACAAATTCGCATTTAAAAATAGTTTGTCCTAAATGACGGCCTTTCATTTCTTTACGCCAGTTACGTCTGTCATGGATTCAAATTGAAATGTATTTTTAAAAACAGCACACTTTTTTCTCCGAAGTTACACTATTTATATTACAAAAAAATAATTACTATCTTACCCATTTAGAGGAAAAGTATTATAAAACCATTAAAGACTGTAATATTTATTAATTATACTATAATAGAGTTATAAATTATTATAAAATTAATGAATACATTGTGTGTGCATCAAAACTGAATCTGCCTCTTGCAAAGTCGATGTATTTCTAACCTGCCCTTCAGAAAAACGTCCGACGCTCCCGCAAGTCAGATGAACCGAAGTGCGACGGCGCTTCATTTGGCGCCCTGAGCGATACGCGTGTGCACGAATTCATTGTCTTAAGTCTCCTTGCTCGCAACACGGAACCTAAGATGCGAAATCCGTACAAAACTCGAAAACGGGACCCTGGAAATAGGCACTCAGCGCTTCGCCAACAGGAAGAGATATGAAACTGGCCACTTCCCGAGTTTCTTAACCACCCTATTAGACCTAAAGAATTTTAAAAAAGGTTTCTTTCTTTCTTTCTTTCTTCATAATGATAACATAATAAGCAATTTAGGGACCGTCCATAAACTACGTAATGGCAATTTGGAGCATTTGCAGTACCCACTCTCCCGCTGTAAAGCGCGCTCACTCCCTAGCAACGCTGAACAATTACATTTTCTACCCGTTAGCACCCCCCCCCCCGTTCACAATAAGTGCAATTAAATTGCATAGGAGTAAAAACAATGTGTTCATTATATTTGAGATATATATAACATGCATGACATCAGAATTAGTCGGCGTTGCTAACTGCACAATATGACTGGGGGCAATTTTTGAGTGAAGGAATGACACATAAGTGAAAACTATTCTGAGGCCTGCACAGGCCGTCCTGGACGACTATTGCTTCTATTGTGGCAATATAATTGGGTTCTAGAATAAACTACCGGTATATTTTTACTATTTTCTTCCTGATCTAATAGAGAGAAAAAAAATATTGTAAGAATTTATGCATCATAATTTTTTGATTTAATTTGTTAATTTTCATGTTACAAAACTTCCATTTACGGTAAAAGTTGGTTAAAAGAGATTATTTCATCAAATGTAAAAAATTAAGAAAAAAAATATCAGCATTATGTTAACACTAAACTAACACCCCCTACCCACATGTAACAGTGCAACGCTGGCTCAGACCCCTCCCCCTCTTCAGTGTCATGTAATTTATTGGCAACCCCTTAACAATGTTATTAAAGAATCCACTAATTATCAAAACACTTCACAAAAAGGCAGCCTTTAAAAATCCTTATATAGCATGCAGGGTGGGAATTGGCAATTTTCTCCCGAGGAGGATATTCAAAACGCTAAGATGGGATGAATCAAAGAACTGAAGAGTGACACTAAGAATATGTTTGCTTACGCAAGATTCTGAATGAATCCTAAGAATGCACTCCAGAATGTTGTGTTTTCCAATTTCCTTGGTTTGTTAAAATTGTTAATGAAGCACCTGACAAGAAAGTGTTAATTCCTAGCAGGGAAATAGAACTCTTGGTGGGAACCCTAGTAACCCCTCTCCCCCATCAATTCACACCCTGACTAAGTTTAAGAATGCTCTTCCACAAATACGAACTGCAATACCATTCATAGGTGACGCAGTACTACATGTTTAGTTCATATCGGATTATTTTCACATAAGAAAAATAAAAATTAACAAATAAAATCCCCATATTTCACGCTCTTCGTTAGAATGTACTTGATTCAATTTTCCTCAAACACAAAAACAATTAATTCTTCAATTACACCATATTCATTTCGGAAAAAATAGTTGTCAATTACCAATCATATGTTTCCACAGGAAGGCAACTATATTTTTTAACATTAATTTAAAAGCATTTAGAAATATATCAAAGCAACTATGAATATTAAAAAACTAGGCTTCAACTGGCTTGTCTCATCGTTTTCAATGACATACAATTATGTACCTGCCTCATACACATACATAACATTTACAAATTTTGACAAAAAATATTTAGAAGTACATGGACAAAACCAGCCTCAATAATTTGACTAGCGGCAGATGAATGTTCAAACTTCTAGGATGCAGAAGCATTTTTTTAAAAGTCACCAGCCACGATATATAGAAAAATATGAAGATACTCAATCCCAAGAGCACAAGTGACATTCATGATAATGCTTTGAAAACAACCTTTTTAAACCTAAACTGTCTTGTCGCATTGCTGTTTGGAGGCACAAAATTATATAATTATCACTACACAAGTTATGCAAGTTACTCAAATTTAAAAATCTTGGCATTTAACTTCAGGATGCCTCTATAAAAATGGTAAATGTTTGCTTAACGGCATATTTTCACATATATAAGGTTTTTGTAATCCTGATCCACAGACAGATAATATAAAGAATTTTTTTTTAAAATAATGAATATAACTTTTTTAGTTGCGTATTCTATTGTCTTTAAAATATTAATTGTGCACATAAACAACCTGCGATAAGGCATCATAAAGGAATTTTATTCACTTCCTAAACCCAAATGAAATGTCATCAAACAATGCATTTCTTATGGCATGAGTCAATCTTCTACAAACCATCAAGATTAACATCATAAATTATAACAAATCTAATGTACATATAAATACAAACAAATATTTTATCAAAAAAAACATTTGTAAAAATAACTAAAAACTGAAATTTTAATAGAATATAAATATTTCAACATGCAAAAATATCTTTTTTCAATAATAAATTACTTTATCATTAAGAAGAAAAAATGAATTAGTTACTGGAAGAATATATTATACTTTCATTATACTACAGACATATTAACAATATTCATAATGGTGCATTGCAAACTGCACCAATGTTATGTTAATTATTAAGTTTTAAAATTCTGGAATAAAATGCATGCTTGGAACACTGGGTTATATGATAATTTAAATACATTTTAATTAATATGTTATGAGACATTTAAATAAGCCAAATTAATTAAAATAAAAATTGACAATAGCAAGAGTGCTGGGAGGATTTTAGCTGTGTGCTGCAAGTAGACAATTACCACAGATCTATTGGTATTCATAATAAAATTTGATTCATTATGAAAGTTCAGTAAATCGTGAAAAATAGTAAAAAGAACGATTATCAAGCGAAATTTTGCTTCAAAAACCAGAGTTATTCCTCCCCACAAAAATTCACTGCACTATTCAAATTAACTTATTTATTCTACTGAATTAAAAGAAAATAATATAAAGGCTAAACACAAAATTCCTCGATAGTATCACATAAATGTTTCATACATCTAATGCCGAAAATGCATAACCCCCAGATAATAAGTAAACTTGCTTCCTAACCTTCATAGCCTTAATTTTCACTGTCATCAACCTTATGATGAATAGGACACCACAGAAATTCTGGTTTATCCGTACAAGCTTACAATTTCCAGTTCACGCACTACACAAAATCATTGATTTGGAGCACTGGAAAGCCATACTAGCTTACTTCACAAACATCATTCGAGGGACACCTGCTCATGATGAGAATTTCCCACGGCCCCTTTCCCACGCAAGTCGCTTGTTGCCAATGTCCAAAATCTGACTTTCCCTAAAATTGTCCCTAAACAAGTTGAAGCAGGATAAAACACGTTTCTCCATTTATTTTTCCATTCGGACAGCATTATTTTCTCACGAACGTGTATGTTTTATCACATATCTGCGTTACCACTTTTGCATTAGGGTTTTATATAACGCGCAATTGTATAAATGACAATCTAGTCAGGAAAATTATAGAGGGGAGTGATGCGTGACTGGTGTGAAGGATGTACATGTGCGTAATAAAAAGTATGCACTATCGACGACAATAACCATATAACAGAGAAATTATATTACATTGTTCAGTAGTAAATTGAAAGTATTCCCACTTTTGAAAATACAAGCGTAATACGTTTCACTTTAAATAAATCTCGAGCAAAATGCCCTTGAATTTCCCCGTACGTAAATTCTCATAACGCGACTGTACAAACATTGACCACAAATTGGTGTTGCCAACCTAGCCAAAAAATTTCAGTACTCATGTGTTTGTGGTGGATTCGCGCAGGGACGCAAAATGCGATTGAGAAAAGCGGCGCTATTCAAGACGAGAATTTGCCATGCGATTTCGAGAATTGAATGATGTTCGACATTTTTCTTCTTCGACGAGGATTCGTGATAACATGATCACTTAGTATGAAACAAAGTGAAACAGTTGTAGTAGATTATAAATGAAGTTACGGTGTCAAATATAACCTATGTTTTGAACGTTTTAAAAGGTAAACAAGTTAGAAAGTTGGCGTTTTTATGCACACTTAAATAACAATAAATTATTTCATAAAATATTGTAAATGAAATAAAGTGGTGTACTTACACTGCTTTAAAGAGTCTTGTGGATCTTCATTTAGAAAATATTGTATTCATAAGATGTCATGTAAAAAATCTGAGGAGTCCAGAACAACCGGCTTGTCTCGAGTCTGCATGTATACTGACATTGTTGTAGCATTCTTGAGATCGGAGTGTGAATTCATTTCCTCCAACTCCCGCCCCCACCCCGTTGTCTTAGTGAAAGGCAGTCCCTATTCTTTCTTCCCACGGGAAAATATGTGCAGCGCGGCCCTCCTCCGCTCCCGAGTACAAGGCCAAATTGCAACTGCCCGGTTCCCATTGTGGCCTGTTCCCACCCCCACTTCCTGTGTTGTTATGCCGAAGTATGAATGACCCCAGATTTTAGTAATCAAGTTACTGTAGTCCTCTGTGGAAGGGATTCACATAACATATCTTAATTGACATGATCTTGTGCAGATTTCTGGATGATAATTATTGGCTGTGATGGGTGTTCATGGATTATGGAAGCTCCTGGAGTCTGCGGGGAAGCCTGTGCCTGTGGAGACACTTGAGAACAAAGTTCTTGCTGTTGGTATCCTTTCAATAATATCATTAATATAGCTTCAAGTTGTTTCTCTATTGACCAACTTAGTTTCCTTTAGAGACATGACTTGCACATTTGTATTGGCAGCTCTTAATCATAATTCTGCAGAACTTGCATTATGCATGTATTACTCCAGCTATATACCTTACAATGTCATTTACGGAGAGTTTAACATCAATCCAAAGAAAGTAGTAATGTTTTGCATTATTTTATTTTTGGTCGCTGAAAGCAGCTTTTTTATTCAAATACTTTTGAGAATTTTTATTCTTAACTTTGCCTTACAGATCATATTAGACACAAATTAACATGTGCAACAAAACAGAAGAAACGTCAGAAGCATCCATTGAATTTTAGCAGCTGCAAAGGTTTCATATAAAAAACTGAAATCTTAGCAGCTGCCATCTGTGATACAAGGCGCTCTTACATTCAATAAAAAGTGTTTAGACTTCACAACACATTCCAGAATGTTTTTGTTCATCTGTGTCTGGTAACATTTAAAGAACTTTAATGTGGTACTATTAATTAGTGTTTGTAAACGGAAATGAAGTGCATAATGAAGAGATGTGACGGACGAGTTTCAATTTACTTCCTAGTATTAAATGCAGTGCAAAATAAAATTCAATCTGGTTTGTTAGTTAAACAGTATGTCTAAATGTGATTGTTTTTTCATTGTATCTGAAGAAAAATTAAACATTGTGTGTTTTATAACTGCTTCAAAATTCAGTGATATTGATAGTGATTATTAGAACAGTAAAACTTTGTTGACTGATAATTATTGTAAAAGCTGCCACGATCAAATGTGTATCAATTGTATATCAAATATATCATATATTAAACAGTCATTTAACCACACGATTTCACTTTAAAATAAATTTCAGTACCTGTGTTGATGATCCTTAACGCTACGCAGATGTGTCAATTTGGCTGCATCAGGCAGCGCGTGGTTTTCAAGATGCTCGAGGCCAAGCCCTGCCCAATGCCCATTTGCTGGGCCTCTTCCACCGACTGTGCAAGTTGCTTTTCTGGCGAGTACGACCTGTGTTCGTCTTTGATGGCGGTACCCCCCTCCTCAAGCAACAGACAGTGGTAGGTTCCTGGCTCCCGCTCCTGCTGCCGCCGTTGCTGTTCTCACGACCCCAGAGCACTAATTAAGCCCCTCGTCAGCTAAAGGTTATTCCACAGCAGACCTGGCTTCCTGTCATTGTGTGAGAATGTGGAATTATGATAATTATGTGCCATTGTGGGAAGTTCTTTTACTTGCCAAGTATTTCCGTGCTCAGATGTGAACTGTTTTCCCACACCACTAGCTGGCCAGCCCTTTAAGGTGCCCTGTTTTGCTATCTGGGTGTCCTGTATCTGGATGAGATTTAAATGACAAGAGGTTTGCTAGTGTTTTGATGAAAGATGGCGATTCATAGCCCAGAATACAAAATTGTGTTGTTGCCAAAATCATAGTTAACGTATAGTCACAGAAAAGACAAATTCAGTGATATTTTTGTTAGAACACTCCTCTTGATTGCATTCATAAACTTGCAGATTTTCTATGAGAACTTTTATCTTAATCTGTCCCTATTAGGGATGGTTTTATGTTACACATGTCATGATTCATTATTATTCTCGAACTAAGTATTATTACTCACGTTTGATATTTGATTTCTTGCAAATATATAGTAAGTAAGATTATTTCTTATTATTTTATTAAAATTCTAATGAGTGTGGATTCAATTCAAATTACATAATTTTGTAATTTGCATGCATATTTATGCATGTTACGTGTACAATTATTGTGCATACAATTTTGAAGGAATATTCGTGATCCTATATGATTTATTTAATATGTAGTATTACATTTTCATATTATATTGAAAAATTCTTCACTTGAGGACTTATCCATATACCTGTTATGCAATTGTCTAGAAGTTATTACTGTCAATTTGTGAAGAGACATCAAATTCTCCAACATTTATTAAATTATTTTACCTGAAAGGTTGAAATAAGCTGAATAATTTAGGAGGAAATATTTATACATAAGTTCAAAATTAAGGGGGATAAAAATATTGCAGATTTTTCTGAATTTTTGTTCTATAAAAGCTCAAGGGTTCTGTTCTACCATAAACAGAAAATTGAGTCATAGTTGTATCCACAGAATACAATATTTTGAAAGTATTTAGAAGATTCTTTACATGACTACCAATATCCTAGGCAATGGGGCCCTCTTATCATTTTCATTTTGTCAGATAGTTATTTGTTAGAACGTTTTGATTCAGTTGTGAATTTTTTGAAGAGAAAACATAAATGATTACATTTTCCTGTGAAGAAAGAGAAGATTATTGTTAAAGTTAGCAAATAGTTTTGCACTTTTACGCAAATTGGAATTGAAGATTTGAAAATTTATTGTGTGAATTATTATGAAATCAATATTGTGAATAAGTAACTAATTTTCGTAAGTTTCTTTCATTGCTGTGGTTTTTATTCATAAAAATGTTTATTAGTATTTTGTGAAATATTCACTAAAAGCTTTATTGCATTAATATTTTTTAGGTAGTTCCAATAAGATTTTGGATGCAAATTTTCTGAAAAGCTATTTTAATGATGATTTATGATTATATTGTGCATACATTATTTTAATTTTCTGATTATTACAAGAACCTCCTTTGAATAATGAGATAATAAATTTTGAGCAAATTGTAGTAAAGTATTCAATATAATTTGCTACAGTACTAAGAAATAGATTAAAAAATAATTGCTGATTAAACTGATCCATGTCAATTGATCAGTTTCACAAGTTTACAGTGCTCCTGTGATAAACTTTCAGCTAGATTGCAAATATTTAAACAGAATGAACTTTAGGTAATTATTATAAATCATAAAAAACTATTTTAAGCATTTTCTTGAAGTAAATTTATCATTTCCTCCCACATTCAGGCCTTTTTGTGCTGGAGATTCATAAACGGGAAATGACGTGTGTGCGCTAAATTAGAATATCTCCTATTTCGTTTCTTTCTTTCTTTCATTCTTTATTTCTTTCTTCTCTTCTTCTTCTTCTTCTTCTTCTTCTTCTTCTTCTTCTTCTTTCTTCTTCTTTCTTCTTTCTTCTTCTTCTTCTTTCTTCTTCTTCTTTCTTCTTCTTTCTTCTTCTTCTTCTTACTTCTTCTTCTTTACTTCTTCTTTCTTTTCTTTCTTCTTTCTTTTCTTCTTCTTTTCTTCGCGTCGTCGTCGTCGTCGTCATAGTCGTCGTTTCGAAATCCCTCTTGTTCTTGTCCGTAGTCTTTTTTACTTTCTCGCCTTACTACGTACGTAGTGCCGAGTATTGGTATGCTGCGGCAAAAATCGGTGCCTTTTCTGTAGAAAAATTTGAATGTGGGACCCTGGTGTCGTAAAAGTAGATGAATCTCTTTGCTGTGAAGTAAAATACTTCCTCCAACATGTGTACCCAGAATCGATGTTTTGTGGGTCCATGGCACCGAAAAGTCGGCTGATGGCAACAGTCTGATGTTCCGCCGTCCGTGTGCAGGGCTAGAGCTTGAACCTTCCCGTCGATTTCCTCCAAAATTGATATTCCCCCATCGATATGAGCGTTCTCGAGGCTCTACTAGTTTGAAGCTAATAGCTTTATTTTCCCCGTACTAATTCACGTGAAACTTTAAAATTTTATCAAAAAGGTTCCATTTTATTCCCTCTAAGAAAGCAAAAGACCTTAGCAGTGGCACAGGTCACATTTTCTTTGAATTTTGAATATTCGAAAATTGCTAATGTTCAAATTTTTCGGTCTTTTCTCACAACTACCGTTTGGAATTCAGAGACTTTCTTAATATTATCTGTTCTTCAAATACAGTTTTAAGCAGGTCGTGTACACGTTTGCGAAAATACAAGTTGTTTGCACCTAATTTTGCGTGAAATATAGGCAGTTTAAAATAAATTATTTTACCCCAAACGACTTCATTCTTTTTTTCTCGAATACAGCAAAGTACGTTTCTAAAAATGGCGTTTGACCCATGTTGGGCAAACTATGTATTTTCGAAAATTTCAAAAGAACAATTTATTATAGTTATGTTTTATAAATGAAATTTACCCCAAAAGTAGATCTTTAAAAAAAGTCATGAACATTTTTTTGGAAATAATAACACACTAGTTTTCGAGTAAATTTTGCTTGAAGTTAATGCAAAATACTTTTTTTTTTTCAAAACTGGGCCGTTTTTACCCCCTCAGATAGATCAAAGGACGATTAAAAGTGGCCATTTTCGTTGAACTCTCAATGTTCGAAAATTTCAAGAGTTATAATTAATGTTAGAAAGTGTATACTGTTGTAGCTCCACTAGTTATTTTCTCGTATACGTACGTACGAGTATATACGGAGTAATATGTTATGTAGACAAAGTTACGTAATATCGCCTAAAATAGATTTCGTGATTTTAAAGAAATTTCACATTTTTAGTTCCTTGATACCGCACAAATTTTACATTCTTGCGTACTTTTTACATACTATAGTGAAAGTGTTGTACTCGCTCGGAAGGAAACGGGTATTTTTCGACCAAATAAAGTACTATGGAGCCCTAATAGCGAAAAGTGGATAAATCTTCTTCCAATAAGTAGCAAATTACTTCCACTAAAACCTTGAATATTCAAACCCCCTTTATAGCGAAAAATTGATTTACAGCAATTCGTTCGTCTATGAGCAACGTTAGCGGCTAATCCGTTCGCAGGATGTATACCAAAAGTAATATTCCCCGAACGCTCTGGTTGATGTCGCACCCCCTTCAATTTGAAGCAGTGGGAATGAACTGCTTGAAGACCCAACAACATTATCAATATTTTCTCAAAAATGCCTCCAAATGTATTGTTTAATTTTTTTCGGATAGACAAGAAAGCGCGAATAAAAATGGCGTAAGTCTCATTTTCGTCAAATTCTGTAAAATTTCAAAAATTGCTAAAGTTACATTTTTTCGCCGTCATTCTACAACTACAACATTGAAGGTAGAAAATTTATCTTCAAATGTTTTTTTTAATTATTAGTTATTCAATTAATGTCGTGAACACTTGGAAATTGTATTTTCGTGCAATTGTGAGAGTAATATGTCCAATATTTTAAAAAAAGTTCGCACAAAGGCTCTAAACTTTTTGTACGGATTGTTCTAACTGCACAGAATAAAATGACTTAAAGGCTATTTTGATGAATTCTTTTGGGTTTTCACACATTACCCAAATGTTTTTTTGAAATATCTAGCACGTGGTGAATATTTACATTACGGGCGTTCTGTAAACAGAATTGGATTAGTGCGTACATGTGCGACAAATTATGAAGAGTGAAGTTTCTCAAATTCTTAAAATAATTTTTCAACGAGAATATGTATCAGGACCAAGTTTTACCCAACTATAAAGTTCTTAAACTCGTATTTCAATTTTACTACTAGGACCAAGAAATGGAGAAAATGTGCAAAAAGTGTCTTTTAAACGCCGATGGGTAGCAGCTGGGGTGGGGATGAGGAAAAACCGAAAAGCTAGCAGAGACTAAAGAGGTTAGGAAACTAACTGGTACAAGAAAGTCAGTTCCGTTCTGTAGCATAATTAGTTCACTTTCTCACATATTACTTACCTAAGTATAGGGAAAGTATTGATTTGCTGCGACAAAAAAAACAACATTTTTTCGACAGGAAAACTCGTGCCACGGGGCCCCGATGCCGAAAAAACGGATGAATCATTTCAAGACGTAATAAATTACTTTCTCTAAGTCTCTGTGTCTCCAGAATACATGTTTTGTGGGTCCTGGATACAAAAAATTGGTATACGGCAAAACGTTTGTCCTTTCGTTTCTGTGAACAACGCTAGTGGCTACACCGAAGTAGGATTATCTCCAAAATTACATTTCCCCGATCGCTCTGGTTTATGTCGCGGCCCCTTGGATTTGAAGCGGATATTTTTATTCTGTGGAGGAGACTAACATGAAGCTGCAACGACATTTTCAAAATTTACTCAAACATTGCTCCAAAAGTTTTCTGTACATTCCTTATAAGAATAAAATGAAATACGCTTCTAAAGATGGCTTATGTCAGAT